TGGTGGACTACAGTCCAGAGGGTCTCAAAGAATCAGATACAATTGAAGAGATTTATTAGCCCACCATGATGCCATCTGAGAAGCAAGGGTGATTGAGTCACTAGTCAACTGACTTCTGGTAGTATCCTTTGCCCATAGAGGACAAAAGATCTTAGCTTCTGCTTATGGAGCCCCGACCGTGCCTGTGAGCGTCTGGACTTGATAGTTTGTTATTTTCCTGGAAGGCAAGTTTCTCCCCCATTTTACAGATGAAGAGACTGAGGCCCAATGTGCTTCTGTGACTTGCCTCCAGGTCCACTGAGTGAATGAGAGGGAGGTCGGCAATCTAGACACAGCCCAGAGCCTGGAGTCAGACAGGCTTACCTCTGTCCTGCCACTTCCTGGGTTTGTGACCTTGGTCTTTTGTCCATCTGGCCTTGTTTTCTCATTCATACAATGGGCTCCACCAACTTACCCCCGGAGTCTCTCTGGCCATCAGCAATCATGCATAGAAAGCCCCCGACAGGGCCCAGCACATAGCAGGTTTTCAGTAAATAATAAATAGCGTCACAAAACTTGTTTACACATAAAGATACTGCACAGAACAGCTTACTCCCGAATCACTGCTACGCAGCGACCCAGCCCTGCTGAGACGCCCCTGACCCCCAGCTTTGCTGTGTCAAGTATTGAGAGTTGACCGTGTCCCTGGATTCTCAAAACGGTCCTGGTTTGGACACATTAGAGGGCACAACCCCCTAATCATTCGCTGCTTTTTACAAAGCCCAGAAGTTTTTCAGATGAAAAACCCAGGGTGGAGGACCTTGGGAGTGCTAGCAGGCACGTCTTTAGATGTATTTTCCTTCATCTTTATAAATACCCACAGCCAAATTCGCAAGTCTCCGCTATTTATCCCAATTAGAGTTTACTTGCCCGATGACTATGCCATCTGTTCCTCCTGCGGTCAGAAACGCAGCTGCCCTCCGCTCCTGATGCTGCAGGTGGTGGGTCTCTGGGGTGGGAGAAGCAGAGCCGGGGATGGGGACACGCAAGCAGCCGGGTTAACACATGTGGGCGTGGTTCTGCCCCGCCAGCCTTGCCACCCAGGATGGAGGGATGGTGCCCTGCATCCTGAGGTCAATATTGACATCCCAATAAGCCAGCCAGGGCATCAGTGGGGTTGCTGTTTTCTTTCTGCATCACTTGGAAGTGGTTCCTTCCGGTAGCGGCTCAGGTGTCATGGGAGGGACTCTGCCCCAGATGCCGGACTCAGCATCAGAGACCCAGCCTCTTCCAGCTGCAGCCAGACCCTGAGAGTGCGTCCGCAGAGGAGGTTCTGGAGGAAAACCTGCCTCCTTCCTGGAGGAGGGAAACAGCAGGAAAGCCTGGGGAAGTCTCCAGAGGGAGCACTCGCTTATGAGACGTTCTTTGGGTTTCCTGGGTCCCTATGTCTCATCTACTAGCCATTCGGACCTTCTCCCCCTGAAATTAGTGAGAAAAGGCATCTGGCAGCTGCCTGACTTCTAGGAACCAGCATCCTTGTTGCCTTGAAGCCATGTCCTCAGATACCCAGAGGAGAAACAAAGTGAGGAACTGAAAAGAGGGATAAACACTTAGGTGTGATCACACAGGACTCTTAGAATCTTTGGGGTAGAAATGTGAGGTGAGAGGGGGTTAACCCTACAACTTTACCACCAGGTCACCATGGAAGCAAGTCTCAGACCACACTGTCATACCTGTGCAGATGTATGTTACAAAGCGCTTGTTGACGGGCAGGCACAAGCAGCACTTCGTCCTTCTCTGCCCTCTTGGGAACCTCCTCCACCAGCGCCCATGGAAACTGAGAAGAGTGGGAGTTCAATATCTGCAAAATAGCAAAATAGATAATGTGTGCATCCATTGATGGGGAACCAGGACCCTGCCCCAAGGCTGCACTATTGTTTCTCTTGACTGTTTCTCCCTCCCTTCCCTAATTAACAACTATTGGAATCTGCCTCTTGGAACTCAGGGAAGGTCATGGAGGCTGAATGAAGATTATTTCCTATAAATCAAAGAAACAGGGGACACGGCTCCTTTGTGTCCAGGAGCCCCACAGGGCCCTGCTCAGTATCAGCTCCTGCCCTGGGCTCTGTTTCCAGGTGCCTCCAATGCCTGACCCCTGTGTGGGCTCCTGAGACCTTGGCCATTCTTAACCCTCCAGGCCCCTAATCTGATGTCCCCACACACCAGCTATTCATCCACCACCTTCGAGATTTTCTCTGTATCTGCCTGCCACCTACACAGTTATTTCATATTTTCTTTAAATCTGTGCACTTTCTAAAATTCTATTTTGAAATAATTTGAGAGTCACAAGAAGTTACAAAGATAGCACAGATGGTTGCTGCATAACTTCACCCAGCTCCCCATGGATAGCATCGTAGGTGACTGGAGCAGTTGACACCGGGCAGTAGGTGTGGGCACAGTGTCAGTAGCCGAACTACAAACAGTCACTCTTTGTCCTTCCTCTGGTGATAAATTCCATGGGATTTGATGGTGCATATAGAGTCACATACCACCATCAGGAGTACAGATGGCTCCACCCCCGCCAAAGTCACACCCTCATGTTCCTTTTTTGTGTGTGTGTGTGGTTGCCCTGTGTGCAGGCTTTCTCTGGTTGTGGTGAGTGGGGGCTACTCTGTTGTTGTGCACAGGCCTCTCATTATGGTGATTTCTTTTATTGTAGATCCTGGACTCTAGAGCACAGGCTCAAAGATTGTGGCTCACAGGCTTAGTTGCTCCACGGCATGTGGAATCCTCCTGGACTAGGGGTTAAACCCGTGTCCTCTGCATTGGCCAGTGGATTCTTATCCACTGGATAACCAGGGAAATGTTACTTCTTAAAAGTCAGACCCTTCCCCCAACTCCAGACCCTGACAATCACTGATCAGCTCTCCATCACTTTAATTTTATTATTTCGTAAAAGTTGCATCAATGAAAAATCTGTTTTTTGAGTTAGGTCATTTTTACATACACACAGAGGACATACACATGAAGGATTTTATGGCCAGTTGCATTTTTCTCATGCACATTAAAATGAGAATGTGGCCACTTAAATAGTGTTGTATCCTTCTACCATCACTTCACACAGCCCCAACCCCCACCCCCCACACATACACTACCATGGCAGCTGGTGGCACACCTGGATGGACAGGTGATCTCAGGGCTCTTCTTCTAGTGCCCTTTTAACTCGAGGCTGTTGGCAGCTGCTTTTCCCCACCTGAGGACCTTGGAGCAAAAGCTCAGCCTTGGAGCAAAAGTCTCTTCTTCAGGACTGAGCCCAGAAGAACCAGAGCTCTTGGCCTTGAGGCTTCTGAAATTGCTATCCTGGAGTCAGAGCTGCTTCCTGGCAGGTCCTGCATCTTTGTGATGGGGGACCCAGGAAGGGGGCAGATTGCTCCAAGTCCACACCTGTGCCCAGGGGAGCCCAGTGTCTCTTCTGTGCCGTCCTTGGTGGAGACAGCCATCACACCCAAGTTCATTCAGCCTTTTAAAAGAATCTTGCCAATTATTTTAATGAATCAAAGAAATTAATTATAGGTTTGGGATTTGTTAGATCTATTTTCAGAATTCCATGATCTCAGACATAAATAGCACTTCACTCTGGCCTAAGGAGCTGAAAGCTTAATACAGGTGGAGGGGGAGAGGGAGAAGGGGGGGTAGGGAGGAGGAGGAGGAAGACAGCATTATTCTACCACCGTCCACATCCCTGTCTGTTCACCTACATGAATCCAGACATCTCTCAAGCCCCAACTTGGTACCAAGCTCTAGTCTGAGTGCTGGGGACACAGTTGGAAAGGAGACAGAAATTCCTGCCCTCACGGAGCTGACATTTTAGTGGAGAAAGTCAGACGATGCACTTAGTTAATAATACAGCAGATGGCATTGTCCATTTATCACAAGGGAAGGGAGATGAGGCAGGACCACCACACAGATGGAACAAACCACTGCCATGAGGAGTGTGATGCCTGCAAATCAGAGGGTCCTCTCTCTTCATCACTTCAGCAAATGTTTATTGAGCACCTAGGATGTGCCAATATTATGCAAAGCATTGAGAATGTGTCAGGGGACCAGAAAGCACAAGCTTGGCAATTAAATGATCTAAGAGAGAGAGGAGAAATAAGAATAATCAGGGAGCTACTAGAATGGTGGGGGGAGGGTGCCACGAAGGGAGCAGCAGGAAAGGAAGTGTAGGGAGTGTGGATCTCTGTTCCCCAGGAAGGGGAGTATGGCGGGCTCACGCCCACCCAACTAAGAACCAGGAGCAGGCAAAGGTGGGGGTGCATGGGGGTGCTGCCTGTGGTACCCTCCCTGCCATGTGTACCAGGGACGCTCCCACCTCCCTAAATGTCCCTGGTGTCTGCAGATGGCAGTGATGTTGCTAACCCAAGCCAGCAGGTAGCAGTTCCTTTTAATGCTAAAACAGGGTGCCCTGGGGTTCTGCAGTTTAGGGGCAGAGGCCTCCACCAGAAAACTGCATCAGTGGAGTTAGCAACTGAGTCGTCCCCAAAGCTGGGCTCTCACCACCTCCTGCTCCAAATTTCAAGCAGCTACAGTGAGGCGTGCCAACCACAAAGTGCCCGGGCTGCACACAGAGCCCAGAACAATCCGCAGTTGGCTGGGATCTGAGTGTTTGCAGGGTTTCTTGGCACCTGTGCTTTCCCACGTTTGCCCTGCGAGAGAACCTGGCCGACGGCCAACCTTCCAATCGACAGGAAGCTTGATCTGCTCAGCCACTGTTCTCACGTGGAGGCAGGAGGCAGGCCCCCCCCACCACACACATGCACACATGTGTGCAAACACACTCAGGCCATACACTTTCACGTGCACACACACACACTGTCATCCACACATGCACACACAACACTCAGTCTTGTGCACACACATGCAACGCGCAGACACACACAGACACACACTTGGGCGCAGACACATGAGGCCCCAGAAGCCCAGGCCACCTGCTAACTGTGTGTCTGGGTCTCTGCGCGCAGTGCAAGGTGCGAGAGCTGGAGGAGAAATGCCGGACACAGAGTGAGCAGTTCAGCCTGCTGTCCCGGGATCTGGAGCAATTTCGCCAGCACGCCGGCAAGATCGACCTGCTGGGCAGCAGCCCTGTGGCCTCCCTGGATGTTCCCCCGTCCCCCAGCAAGTCTTTCCCAAGATTCATGAACGGACTGGCTCCCTCCATTGGAAAAGGTAAGTGCCTCCCTCACTTCCTCCCTCCCTCCCTGATGGAGAAGAAGGTGCAGCCAGCAAGCTGGGAACAGCTGGGCACAGCCAGGGGTGTGTGACAGAGCCTCTCACAACACCGAGGGCGCGGCCAGCATAGCAGGACTTGGGAGGGTACAAGGGCAGCCAGCGTTTCCCATGCGTACTCGATGCACCACCCTTAATGGGTGTGAATCAGCATAACCTCCCTCCCACCTGCTCTGAGCCCTGTTCTGCATCTGACGCTGGCCAAGGTGCCTGGAGGATCACCCAGCCAAGCAGCAAGCTGGGCCTTGGACCCGGGGATCTGGCTCTGGGCTCTGCACTGGGATCTGCCAGGCGGGCTTCTCAACTTCGCCTGTTTCCCTTCTCATCCAGCGACCTCTTGATGACATTGTGATGTACTTGGAACTTCTGTTCCAACAAAGGCAACAGTAGTACCGCGGTGAATGTTAATGCATTCCCGTCACTTTTGTGTTCAGGAAGCAGAGTGGAGAGCAGGGAGACTTCACTCTGTGTGGTTCTGAGGGATCACTTCTTGATCGCGGAAGCATTTAATGTAACCTCAGGGGAAGTTCCCAGGGTAGACAATGAAGTACCCTGCTCGGTCAGGGAACTTTCTCTCCACTGAAGGTTAAATAGGTCACAGGCCCAGTTGTCTTCTGTAAAGCAGTTGATTTTTTTTTTATTTTAGGGGACATGAGTGCCAGAACCCCACTTTAGAATTCTGCAAAAGGGAGGGAATTTCCAGATTTCTCCCAGTTTTTGTCAGAACATAGGATGAGTTCTTCTGGGTGCTTTTTCTTATTAAAATGAGGTGCTGCAGCATGTATCTTGATGAACAATGTTTCTTGGCTTATCCCTCCTTCCCGCTCCCTTTCCGTCCTGCGCATGTGTTGGGAGAATGCAGAAAGGCCATGAAACCCAAGATGGGGAGAGGGAGGTCTGGACCCCCCCCCCCACCAAGTTCTGAGCACAGGGTACTTCCCCGGCCGTGTTCGGGTACCGAGGCTGCGATGCTGGGCAGACGGCAGGCCCTATGTGGAGCCCCTCTAGGCAGGGGGACAGAGACAAGAAACAGGGGGACAGATGAGTGAGTAGGGAGCTGCTCGCTCAGACAGACACAGACACGAGTGGTCAGGTGACAAGAGAGCAAGTGACCCAGGGCCATTTGGAATGATCAGAGAAGACTGCCTCCTGGAAATGAAGTTTGAGCCACGAGCCCTGAGCATGAAACAACTTCTCCAATCCCCACTGGGTGGGAAGGTTTGTGGCTCAGGGCTCACACGCGCAATTTTCAGGGTCCCCAGGTCCCCAGCATGGTCGATGAGTCCAGGACTCAGCACAGAGTTGTCCTCCTGGCTCAGACCTGTTACAGAAACACAGGACGAGCACAGAGTGGGTCCTGAGGGAAAGAGATGGGGCGTCTGAAGAATCCATGTGCAGGCATCCTATGCCCTCCTCCTCCAGGAAGACCACCTGGAGTGCCCACTATGCAGCCAAAAAAAAAAAAAAATGCAGCTATATGCATGCAGTGATGATGTCCAAGGACACCGAATAGATACAGCATACAGGATCTGTTGGGCACTGGTGATGTGGGCACCTCCGCCCAGCACACACCAGAATTCCAGACTTCCTGAGCTAGGCAGGCGTTCAGCACAAACCAGGTTGGGCCCACAGTCTAGTTACAGGGAAATGCCCCTGTCACCTAGGGAGCCTGTCCCGCTGGTGTAGGGAAAGGTTTAGAAGCTGTGTTCCTGGTCATGGCACAGCCTGACTTGTCAGCAGACCCTTCTTAAAGTAGCAGCCCCAGGCTTCCCTCCATGTGAATTCCTTTCTGCACAGCATGAGAACATGTTAGTCCAGGGCAAGATCCAGGGCAAGCTCATGGGTCACTGGAGGTGGAGCAGTGATTGACCTGAGTCATTTGGTGTCCAGATTGATCTGGAAAAACCAATCTGATTTGTGATGGAGGAAAATGGATGCTGACTAAGAACAAAACAAGCAAAACCAAAACAGGGCTGTGTTATTAAGGGAGTTCTAGATCTTGGTACAAGAGTAGGTTTGCATCAAGTCTTCTGTTTAGCCATTTGGAAGAGCTCCTTAGCTGGGCATACTTGGCAGCATCCTTAGAGCATCCTTGCTTAGCTGGCATCACTGGCCATGGGCAGAATGCCTGCAAGGGGACTTCCTCGTGCAACCCTGAAGTCCTCCTCAAGGTCATTCTTTGTTGGCAGATGGCAGAGGCCACTAAATGAGGAAACTCCCTGCTGGGATGGCCTGTCCTCCTTATGCCAGAGGGGAGGGCGGGAGATGGAAGGAATGGGCAGGGCCAGTGCAGAATCAGAGCAGGACCAGGCAGGTGTGCTGCACGTCCTGTCGGGGGCCTCCTGCCTGAGGCGGGGTCAGCCTGAGGTTGAGGAGGACAAGGACCACTTGATTGTGAGCCCCTGGTGGGGTCAGGGCTCACCTTCTGTGCGGTAGAGTCATGCCTGCCACCAGTAAGGGCGGGAACCACACAGGAATAGAATTATCCCTGGACATCACTAGGAAGCGGTCGTGTCATCTCCCAGGGCTACCCCTCCATCGCCAGTTTCCTTCCAGTATTGGAGCTGAGTTTTGGTGAAACACCAGATAAAAGTCATTGTTTTGGGCTCAGTGGCCATATTTTCCAAAATAAAAAAAGGTAGCCTGAGGCATGCAGATCACAAAGGAATGTGCAGCTGAGGGCATGACATGATTTTGTGTCTAATCTCACATTCACTCAAAGAGCAGAAGGGAAGGTAAAACATGCCACAGGCATCAGATGATTTTTCTCTAGAGAACTGGATTTGTTTAAGTAAAATGTAAACAGGAGGCGACTCTAGTCATTTCACCTTTTCTGGTTGTGCCACCCCCTGCTACTCCTGGCTGCAGTGTATCAGTCAGGACAGGCTAGGTTCAGCTGCAGTAACAAACATCCTCAAATCTCAGGGGCTTAAAACAGCACAAGTTTCTCTCTTTCTTTTGATCCTGCTCCACATCCACCTCAGATTGGATCAGGGAATGGGTTCCATACTGTCTTCACTCAGGAATGCTGAGCCTCCTCTGTCTGGAATGTTCCATCTCAGGGGAAAAGAAGCGTAACAAATTAGACACTGGCTCAAAAAGGCTTCCACCCCAAAGTAGGACACGTCATTTCCACTCAGAGGTCGTTGACCTGGATGAGTCCCATGTCAGAGTGACACCCTTCCACCGTGGCACTGAAGCACCAGGCCCGTCCTCAGCTGACTTCCTGAGGCTGTAGGATTTGAGAGCCGATTCATTGAACCTGCTGAATGCCGAGCGCTGCTGTGGGCAGTAGGGATCCTGGGCAGTGACCAGGGCCAGGCTGCTGCTCCCTGGGATGTGGCCTCCTTTCAGGGCCTGGGGTCTATTTCAGCATCAAGTCTCCGCTGCAATCATCAGACTTTTTGTTAATCAGACTGGGACTGAGGGGGTAACTTCCATGCAGCCTTTGTGGGAACACTTCTAACAGTGTTTGTTTCTCCTGATTTGGGCTCAGTGAGTCATCTTCCTCTGTGAGGCAGTCCCCATGATGGGAGAGCCACAGCCAGAGGCTAGACAAAGCCAGGGAAGGGTGTCTGCAGTCCACTGGGCCATGAGAACTCAGGGAGGGGGTAAAAGGTACTTTTGTAATTCATGTCTGATCCTAAAAATACACGCCTGACTTTAATCCGACAGTCTGGGCCAGCACTGGTCAAGGGACTCGATTCTCCCCTGCCTGCCCCACCTCCCCCGCACTGTGCCTAGGTCAGGACCCAGCAACCCCACGAGGACAGGATGGGCAGAGATCTGCTTGGTCCTAGTGAATCTCTTTCGTCAAAAGTATTTTTTAGCCATAAACCTGACCATTTGGCCACTTTGTATATGTCAGGAGTGTTCAGGTTGTATTAATAATAATAAGTGACAGGAAAGCTGACATACACTAGTGTGAGCAAAAAGGAATTTATTTATCATGTAGAGTAGATGCAGATGGCTTAGCTTCAGGTACAGCTGCAATGGTTAGACAGCATCACCGACCCAGTGGAGATGAATTTGAGCAAACTCCCAGAGATAGTGAAGGACCAGGAAGCCTGGCGTGGTGCAATCCTTGGGGTTGCAAATAGTTGGACACAACTTAGCGTATGAACACACAGCTGGATTCAAGGGCTCCAACCATGCCATCTGGACCTGATTCCTGCCTCTCCATCTTCCAGCTCCTCCTTCTATGAGCAGGCTCCATTCTCAAATGGAGTTTCCTCCTCCTGGGGACAATGTGGCTGCCGTCCTACGAAATCTCACTTCCTTTCTGTTTTAAGCTGGGGAAAAGGAGAGCCTCTTTGCCCATGACTCCCACGAAGGTCTCTCTGATGGGACCTTCCCATCTTGCATGCCACACCATCTCCACCAAACAATCAGTGTAGCCAGGAATGGACTCTGCCAGATGGACGGCCTAGAGCAGAGGGTGTAGATGAAGAGTGGGAGATGGGTGGGTTCTGAAATGAAACTCAAAGGCTGATGTGAAAGACAGGAAAGACCCATGGGGAAGGCAAATGTCCAGCGTGCTTTGGTTATTTCCTTTGGGCCTTCTTTCAAATCATTCCGATGTTGGTGTCCAGGTCAGGAGAGCGCCCTTGGAAGCCGCACTGTGGCCGGTGAATATATCCGGCCCTTCCCGCTCCCGGGTGACAAGCCGGAACCTCTGTCCGTCAAGCCCACCTTCCTGTCAAGATCCAGTGGCCCAAGATGCAGATTTGAATCAGACGTGAGTCCTGTCCTGGCCTCGGCACGCTGCCCTGCTACCCATGATGTGGGCTGTGGCTGTGGGTGGCCCTCCCACCCTCTCTCCCAAGTTCCCTCCTTCTCCTCTTCCTCCTGCCTTCACCCCCATTAAGCCATCTTCATTGACCACCTATTCTATGCCAGGATGTGAGGGCCCAGTTTGCAGACAAGGGGAGCCCCTGCTCTCATGGGCAGAATGACCATAAACGAGTCAACATCTAAAAGTCGCCTAACAGTGAATGTCTTGAACCCCAACAAGCAGGGACGATGCAGAGGAAAGGGAAGCCCTTCTCAGACTGGCCATGGGCCATTTGTGGTCTGTCCATCTATGAGCAGGAATCCAGGTGAAGCTCACTGGGCCAGAGAGGAGCTGTGGGGCTGGGGTGGGGTGGGAGGCGAGTTGAAAACCTCAAGCAAGTTCTCAAATTTTGGCTCAGTCCAGGGGGAAGTCACTGAAAAGCCCTGAGACTGGAGTGACGTGGCCTAACTACTGGGGAGCCCACTGCAGAGGGGGAAGGGTGGGAGTGTGTTGTGGGGAGCAGGCAGGAGTCCCGGGCCTTTTTCTCCTGGGGTGGGGGGGGAGGGGAGGGGGCTACACATGGCAAGTCACAGTCACTCCCACCCTCCCCTGGGGGAAAAACCACCCCCTCCTCCAGCCTGGGGCCCTGTCCTACCCTCCCCCCAACCCCAAGATGGTTTTAGCCCCCTTAGGCAGAGAAGAGTAGGGCAGGAGGAGGGGGCACCGGGAAAAAGGAGCGCCATGTTGCCTCCTCCAGGCAGGATTCCTGGGGGCACCAGGCGCCATCCACGTGTGAGCACTCACCTCCCTGTATGGAGTCCTCAAGGGCTGAGGACACAGGGCTTGGGCTACCTTTGTCCTCCAAGGAGCCTGGCAGGCTCTGGAGCAGTGACCGTCTCAGGCCTTAAATCACAGTGCTCACCACTCGGTGAGAGGATACGGGGTCTTTTTTTAAGTGGCTCTTTGTTTTTTTTGTGTGTGTGTGTTTGTTTATATTGACATATATTTGATTTACAATATTATATTGGTGGTAATAGTGGTAAAGACCCCACTTGCAGATGCAGGAGACGTAAGAGACAGGGGTTCGATCCCTGGGTCGGGAAGATCCCCTGAAGGAGGGCATGGCAACCACTCTAGTATTCTTGCCTGGAGAATTCCCATGGACAGAGGAGCCTGGCGGGCTACAGTCCATGGGGTTGTAAAGACTTAGTGTGCATACACCACACATAGTTGATTTACAATATTACGTTAGTTTCAGGTGTACAACATGGTGATACAGTATTGTTGTAGATTATACTCCAGTATAGATTATTTCAAGATAATGATTCTAATTCCCTGTGCTATACAGTGTATCCTTACTGCTCATCTATTTTCTATACAGTAGGGTGTATCTATTAATCCCACACCCCTAATTTATCCCTCCTCTGTTTTGTGAGTCTGTCTTTTCTGCGTATACCTTCGTTTGTGTTATTTCTTAGATTCCACATAGAAGTGACATCTCACAGTACTGGGGGAGATGAGTCCTTTATAAATGTCCTCTGTGTGACCCAGGAGCCTGCCCTGTCTCTGGGTCATGCCCAAAACTGAGAACCCGGGTGTGGCAGCATCTCATGGTGGGCAGAGTCCTCACCATGTGAAGCCGAAAACCCTGGGGGGACCATGGAAGATATTTCCTGTGTGTTTCCAGCATGAAATGTGAAGCCTTTGGCATCAATAACCCGTATATCCATTGTCTTTAATAGATGGATAATGATCGGAATTCCAATACCGCCAAGCAGAGGTACTCGGGGAAGGTCCACTTGTGTGTCGCCCGCTACAGGTAAGAGCAGCGTTCCTCTCTGCATCCTCTGAGCATCTGTGAGGATGGGCAGCCTCGGGGCAGGTGGGGTGATGGGTAGGACACTCCATGAGCTGATAGGTCCCTTCCCCAGCACTGAGAAGAGGCAGGCAGTTCAGCCAGGCTTTGGAGAATGCAAAGAGATTGTCCTTGGGAGAAAGGTTATGACAAACCTCGACAGGGTATTAAAAAGCAGAGACATCACTTGGCCGACAAAGGTCCACATAGTCAAAGCTATGGTTTTTCCAGTAGTCATGTATGGCTATGCGTTGGTCCACAAAGAAGGCTGAGCACCAAAGAATTGATACTTTCAAATTGTGGTGCTGGAGAAGACTCTTGAGAGTCCCTTGGATAGCAGGGAGACCCAACCAGTCAATCCTAAAGGAAATCACCCTGAATATTTATTGGAAGGGCTGATGCTGAAACTGAAGCTCCAATACTTTGGCCACCTGATGAGAAGAGCCAACTCACTGGAAAAGACCTTGATGCCAGGAAAGATTGAGAGCAAGAGGAGAAGGGGACGACAGAGGATGAGATGGGTGGATAGCATCATAGACTCAATGGACATGAGTTTGAGCAAATTCCAAGAGATAGTGAGAGACAGGGAAGCCTGGAGTGCTGCAGTCCACGGGGTCACAAAGAGTTGGACATGACTTAGTGACTGAACAAAATGAAGAGTTTTTCCATTCTGATAGAAAGAGTTTGGATAGTGTGTTAGTTTCCCAGGACTGCCATTCAAAACTATCACCAATCGGGTGGCTTAAAACCACAGATATCCATTCGCTGCCAGTTCTGGAAGCCAGAGGTGGGAAGTCGAAGTGTGAGTGGAACTGTACTCTCTGAAGCCCCCAGAGGAGGACTGTCCTGCCTCTCCCAGCTGGCTGTCAGCATCCTTGAGGTTCCTCCACTCAGATGCCCCACTCCACTCTGCCTCCCTCCTCTTGTGCGCTCTTTCCCTCTGCCTCTATGTGTTCCCTCCTCCTTTAACAAGGACCCCTGCCACTGGCTTAGGGCCCTCCCTACTCCAGTACGACCCCATCCCAGCTTGATCACATCTGCAAACACCCTATTTCCAAATACCCTCACCTCCACAGGAGCCAGGATTTAGGATCCGAACATCTTTTTTGGGGGATGCAATTCACCCCATAACAGGCAGCAAGCTGAAACTCAATAAGCGTCACCCTTGCCCAGAACAACCTACTGAGTGCCTTTCCAGCATCTTCCCCACCTGCCCAGTGCCTGGGCTGCATCACGCAGCCGTCACAGCCCAGGAGCTGACCTCTCATTGGAGGACCCTTGTGTCCATGTCTGTTAAGATGAGCCAGTCTGGTCATGCATAACTCTCAGATTCCTGGTGATCACCACTGAAAACTTTGTGATGGGTGAGAGTTAGCCGCTTGGCCGCAACTTCCCTGCCTGCTTATAATGCAACAAGCCTCCACCCAAAGTCAGCCATGTTTCCAGGCACGAATGAATCAAATAGTCACAGAAAGCAGATACAGAACAGTCAGACCTCCAGTACTTTATGCTCAGTACAGACCCAGGCTTTTGTCTCCCTAGACAGTCCAGCGACACTCTGCAAGCCGGGCTGGCCGGCGCAGGCAGGGCAGACACCTCTGCCATCAAGCACCAGAGTCCTACCGCAGGGCTGTGCACAGAACTGCTTAGAAATAAGACTTCAGGAGCTATCACCAATGGTGTGGATGCTTCCCTCATGAGACGCTTACACTTTGTTCTTGCAGAGGTGGTGGAGGGTGAGCTATCCATATACCTTCAAAGCCTTTTGCTTCCTTCAGTGAAACTTATCTCTAATAACTGATCTGCTGATCAGTGAATTATTTTCTGCTGATACACTAAATTTACCAGTGCACACCCACTTCTGACATTCAGATGATGGAAACCTATGGAGAAGCCGCCCTGGGCTGGAGAGTCCTGGGTGAGGATGCCAGACAGCCTCTGAGGAGGGTCCCCCATCTGAATGCTGACTGCACCCACGAGCGTCCTTCACATGGTCTGTGGGGACATTGCTACAGTGCTGAGGAGACCTTTGAGGACACCAGTCTGGGGACCTGGGATGGAGGGCTCATCCCTACCCCATGTCTGATTGGAGGATGGTTCTTCCTGTGTGTGTGTGTGGAGCCGGGCTGAGCACAGCTGCTCAGCGCAGCACACCCTCCAGGCCAGTGAGCTGGAGTCGTGGCCAGGATGCTGAGCTGGCTTCCAGGTTTGTTTTCCTCACCAGCTGGGCCCTTCCCAGCAATGAGCCTGGTCCCTCAAGGATGCAGGGGCTACCTGCCCGCCAGACTCACTCTCCCTCCACTTTCCTGGGGAGACGAGACCTCATTCCAGGGAAGGTGCCCAGGAGCCAAGATCCCCAGAGTCAGGATTCACAGCCAGCATGAAACCAGGCAAAGAGAAAGCACATGTGGTCAACCAGTGTGCTTCCAACACGAAGTCACCAGCCAGAGGCAGGGTGCTCGGCAAGCTCCGTTTCCATCTTCTGTGTTTTCCTGGTGGTGTGTTTACCACCCCACCCCACCCCCAACCAGATGGGCCACATTTGTAAACTGCGCTATCTTCCTGATGCAAATGCCCCAGGGAAGTTACTGACACAGGAAAAACCCTCAGAGCTCTGGACGATGTTCCTGGACCTCTGGGCTCTGAGGGAAAGGGTGGCTTGGTATAGTTAAAACCTCACAGGATAAAGATCAGGTGGCCTTCATTCTGGTTCCAGCTGCCTGCCACCCCAGTCACTTCGGTCATGTCTGACTCTTTGTGACCCTATGGACTGTAGCCCACCAGGCTACACTGTCCATGGGATTTTCCAGGCAAGAATACTGGAGTGGATTGCCATGCCCTCCTCCAAGGGATCTTCCTGACCCAGGGGTCGAACATGTGTCTCTTATGTCTCCTGCACTGGCAGGGGGGCTCTTAACCCACTAGCCACCTGGGAAGCCCTCTGGTTCCACACCCACCTCTTAATGAGCTTATGACTTTGGATAAGTCATCACAATTGGCCATGAACATTGGGAATAATGATATTAATATCATCTCTGCATGCCTCACTGGGCATTAACAGGGATCAAATAAAACATGGAGAGAAAAGTGCTGGTAACTCATGGGGCTGCTGGTGTGTAACCATCCTCACATCACCATGATTAGTTACAGAGAAAGACTACTGCTGACTGAAGAAAAAAATGCATGATGTGAAAGCTGTGAGTTACATTTTATTCAGGGCATCACAAGGACTGTGGCTTAGGAGACAGCCCTTGGTAGCTCCGAGGAACTACTCTGAAGAGTTAGGGGAGGAACCAGGATATATATGCATTTTTTTGGCTGGAAAATTCATGTAGTCAAGCATTAAAATAGTACTGAAAGTGAAAGTGAAGTTGCTCAGTCGTGTCTGACTCTTTGCGACCCCATGGACTGTAGCCCACCAGGCTTCTCCGTCCATGGGATTTTCCAGGCAAGAGTACCGGAGTGGGTTGCCATTTCCTTCTCTGGGGGTCTTCCCGACCCAGGGATCGAATCCAGGTCTCCCGCATTGCAGGCAGACGCTTTACCCTCTGAGCCACCAGGGAAGCCCTACTGATTACAAAGAACACAGTTCTCAAGTTAATGATTTTAGTGCTTTTGTATGTCTGGGAAGGTGCCAGAATCTGGAGTCACTAAAATTCTTTCTTAAGATGCCCATCTTACCGAAACCACAGAAGCCTTATTCTGTTTTCTCCATCCCGAATCCTTCAAGGGCACACTGTCCCTGGGTGGCCTCAGGGGCTGTGGCTTCACCCCTTGTGTGACAGGACAATGAGTGAAACTCTGTTCTTTTGTTTATCCAATCATCTGCCATGATCAGTCATGTCACATTTTCTTTTTCTTGATGAGGCCTTTCCTGTTATGTTAATTAATCAATGTTTTAATTAGAAAATTAAAAATTCATCTCACAAGTTCTTTTTGCAAGTTGGAGGTGATTTTTTAAAATGTTAATTCCAAAATCTTGAGGACTTGAAAAGATGGGCATTTTTATAGTCCTGGTAGAGAGGGGAAGATAAAATGTGCATCATTTTCAGTATATTTTGGCTGAATATACCCGAGACCTTTAAAATGTGCATGACTTTGGCCAAACAAGTATACTTCCTAGGGACTCATCTTTAGGAAGAAAGGGGGCAAGTCAGCAAAGATATGTTGATAAGGACATTGGATATAGCACTAATTATATCAGCCAAACGTTTGAAGAAATATCCATGCCCATCATGGGATCAATTAAAGAATGTTAGTCTATCCAGTGGAATATTATATAACCATTAAAATGGATATGATAGAGTCTTTCATGAGGGAAAAGATAATCATGTCATATTACAAAGTGTAAAAGGTAAACAGATAAGTAAATAGTATATGTCATACAATTCTACCGTCCCTCAATAAAATGTATTGAAACATTATAGAGTTAATTGCTTTTTTTTTTTTTTAATTTGCCTCTGCCAGTGTTAGTTGCAGCATGTAGGACCTGGTTTCCTGACCAGGGATTGAACTCAGGCCCCCTGCACTGGGAGCCTGGAGTCTTAGCCACTGGACCACCAGGGAAGTCCTTGCTGCCGCTGCTGCTAAGTCGCTTCAGTCGTGTCCGACTCTGTGTGACCCCATAGACGGCAGCCCACCAGGCTCCCCCGTCCCTGGGATTCTCCAGGCAAGAACACTGGAGTGGGTTGCCATTTCCTTCTCCAATGCATGAAAGGGAAAAGTGAAAGTGAAGTCGCTCAGTCGTGTCCAACTCTTAGCAACCCCATGGACTGCAGACTACCAGGCTCCTCTATCCATGGGATTTTCCAGGCAAGAGTACTGGAGTGGGGTGCCATTGCCTTCTCCGAGGGAAATCCTTAGTAGCTTTTAACTTTGCTTACCAATTTAGAAGCTTATTAAAACATATAATTTGGAATCATTTAAACATCTTCTGGGCTTCCCATGTGGCGCTAGTGGTAAGGAATTCATCTGCCAATTCCGGAGACACAAGGGTCATGGGTTTGATCCCTGAATTGGGAAGATACCCTGGAGAAGGAAAATGGCAACTCATTCCAGTATTCTTGCCTGGAAAATTCCATGGACAGAAGAGCCTGGTGGGCTGCAGTCCAGAGAGCCACAATATAATTTGGAATTATATGATTCCACACTGAGCACATGTGTACACACACACAAATGACATCTGATACAAAGGACTCTGAGTATACAGCTTGGTTGCAGAATCACCATTTAGCTTTAAATCTGTGTGAGTTGAGACATTAGTGGTCCGAGTTTTCAGAGCACAGACAACTCACAGGTACCAAACTAATTGCATGAATCTAAAATATACAGGCAAAAGAAAAAATTTTTTTAAAGAAAAGAAAGACAAAAAATATCCATGTGACAGCAGACAGGAGGAGCAGACAGGAGGTCTCCGCGCTCTGGACGGGATGGGCTGGTGTCTGTCTCCACCCAGAGCCTTATCTGGTGGGTTTGTCTCTCCCTCTAGTTATAACCCCTTTGATGGGCCCAATGAAAACCCGGAGGCTGAGCTGCCCCTCACGGCAGGGAAGTATCTCTACGTCTATGGAGACATGGATGAGGACGGCTTCTATGAAGGTCAGTGAGAGCCTGGTGGGCGGTGGGCACATGCAAGCCAGGTCAGGGCCGGGCCCACATCACTTCTGGCCATCCCAGTCTCCTCTCTGACCCTCCTGCCCTCCAGAATCACGAGGTTTCTGTTCCCCTTTTGGTTGACTGAGTGGGGTTTCCTATTTTTAACCCCAAACAACCCTGTGACATGGAGTGGACACCATCTCACGTTCACGTCCACCGAGCTTCCCAGGAGCTACTGCAGACACTGGGAGCTGACAGACAAGTGTGTCTCCACACCGTCCCCGTCTTACTGCACAGCATCTTCTCCCCAGCAGGACCAAGGCTCCTTTCAGGTGACCTTACCTGGTTAACAGCGCTCCCATTGACCTTCAGGCTCTACTGTTAACCTTGGGCGGTCCGACCTCACCTCCTGCCACTTCCTTCATGGGCACCTGCCACAGTGTGAAATCATGAATCTCGAATTCCTCCACCCAAAACTCATACTCTTGGTCACTTTTGTAGCTAGAGGAGGAGCATGGAACATCCCCAGCAGCTTCAGAAGTCCAGATTTCTCGGTTCCCTCAACTTTTCTGTTGCCCTAATAGAAGAGTCTTGGTTTCCTCTGAGCAGAAAAAAACTACTTCTTACTAAACAAGCCAATTTCTCTTTCGTGACCTCATGGAGTTTTCTTGGAGCTTTCAGCCACACTCCTGGCTCTGGGTGTTGATGTCTTGGCCTGAGGTCTGGTGGCCTCTATGGAGGACAGCAGCCCAGCCTTAGCTGGTTTTCTGTCTGGCAAGATGCTGGAATCTGAGCTCCTTTAAATTCTTGCTTTCTGTTTGCTACCGGGGGAACAGAGGCATGGCTGTGAGTGGACGAGAAATTTCACCAGGACTAGTGGCAAGACAGTTTGAGCTCTTAACATAGATTCACATTGCCATCACCAATGTGCACACCGGGGGAGAACTGTGTGCCCAGGGTGGCTGCCAGAAATATATTCTAGAAATATTCTCTAGAATATTTGCATCAGCACTGTGCCCGTGTAGACTTTCTGGAGGCTGGGTTAAAGGCAGCCGCAAGGTTCAGTGCTCTGTCTATGTGACAGGGGAGAAGTACCTCCCATCACTGTGCAGATAGAGGGTCACAACTTGAGGGGTGGCTGTAAGGATAAATAAGGAAGAAGGTGTGGGGTCTGAAGTGGGGGCCTGGTACATAGCACTTGCCATCACTCCCATCCCCCTCCTCCTTCTTCCCTTGTGTCAAGTGAGGCTGTTTTCAGAGCATCCTCAAGGCAAAGATTGACCAGCTGGGGACAGGAGTTGGGGACAGGAGCAGATTCAGACCCTCATTGATTCTGGGAGAATCAGGACCAGTTCAGTGGTCAGCCTCCCTCTCCTGGGCCCATCACATATCCCCTGTAGTGGGGGAGGGTCTGTTAGGAGCAGAACCCACTGTTCATTTCATATACTCCCAGCCTCCCAGACCCCTGGACCCCTAATCAAGCCTTTTCTGCCACAAATCAGGAAAACAAACAGCCCTTGACTGCTGGTATTGTGAGATTATCCAAACTGTGTCATCTTTGAAGTTCTTCAAAACACTTCACGGTTTTCCAGGGCTCTGCTCTCAGTGGGCTCTCATGCCCCACGAATAAAGAGAACACACAGAAAGGAGACCATTTCCTGAAACAAAAAGCGATCCCCGCTGGGATCGCCTGTGGCCGCAAGAGCTAGTTTGTGGCATTTTTTGGCCACTCAGCCTATGGGAGGCTCTGGCACCAGGGAGATCGTCTCTGTTTCCCACCAAATGGACACATTTGGGGAATTTTGCTAAGATGGACATACTGCTTTGCAAGGAGGGGGAAAGTCACCTTTTAATTGCCATTTGTGTCATCATTCAATCAAAAATTAGAGTAAGATGTGTTAATTATTTTAGCCTCCGAACCCACATATTTTACATGTTCATTCTTCTGATAAACACTTACTGAACACCTTCTGTGTGCCAGGTGTTGCTCTAGGGCCAGTGGGGAACAAAGGTCCCTGTCCTCCCACAATTCATCCCATCCTCTCCTTCCCCAACTGTGTCCACAAGTCTGTTTTCTATGTCTGCATCTCTCTATTCCTGCCCTGCAGAGAGCTTCATCAGTACCACTTCCCTACATATATGCACTACGGTATGATTTGTTTTTCTATTTCTGACTTATTTCACTCTGAATGACAGACTCTGGGTCCATCCACATCACTACAAATGACCCAACTTTATTCCTTTTTATGGCTGAGTGATATTCCATTTTACATTTGTACCACATATTCTTTACCCATTCATTAGAAGTCGTTGTATAGCACACGGACCTCAATTAGATGCTCTGTGATGATCTAGAGGGGTGGGGGGGCAGTGAATTAGGGGGGGAGGGGATATAGGTATACATATTGTTGATTTACGTTGTTGTTCAGCAGACACTAATACAACATTGTACAACAATGATACTTCAATTAAAAAAAGAACAGGTCCCTGCCCTCCCAGACCTTCATCCGGATTAGGAGAGGTGGTTGACACCTGTACGCAGGGGATGATCATGGTGTGATAGGCACTATGGGAGGAAGACTGCATGACTGATGCAGGGGCGGCACTGATGCACATCAGCATGACTGATGGGGGCGGCAGAGGGCAGGTGGTGGGGTACAGACTCAGGGTAGGGGGTTCCTGAGGAGGTGACGTTGAAGTGCTTCCTGGTAAGAACTGAGGAATCCAACGTCACCCCGTTGCTTTCCATATGGTCCCCTCGGGGGGAGGTGCAGACTCCACTGCAGGACCTTGGGGGCCCCCACGGGGCGGTCAGGTGTTAACCCTGTCCCTGGCCCCACAGGCGAGCTTCTGGACGGGCAGCGGGGCCTGGTGCCCTCCAACTTTGTGGATTTCATCCAGGACAACGAGTCTCGACTGGCCAGCACGCTGGGGAACGACCAGGATCAGAACTTCATCAACCATGCAGGCATCGGCTCGGAGGCGGAGAACATTCTGGACCTCCACTCTCCAACACTCACGGACTCCAGCCTCGCTGACCACGGGGCGGGGACACTGGACGTGAACATTGACGACATCGGAGAAGACATCGTGCCTTACCCTCGGAAAATCACCCTCATCAAACAACTCGCCAAAAGTGTCATTGTGGGCTGGGAGCCCCCGGCAGTGCCCCCAGGTTGGGGGACCGTGAACAGCTACAACGTGCTGGTGGACGCGGAGACGCGCCTGAGCCTGGCTCTGGGCGGCAGGACCAAGGCCCTGGTGGAGAAGCTCAACATGGCAGCCTGCACCTACCGCATCTCCGTGCAGAGTGTCACCAGCCGGGGCAGCTCGGACGAGCTGCGGTGCACACTGCTGGTGGGCAAGGACGTAGTGGTGGCTCCCTCCCACCTGCGTGTGGACAACATCACCCAGATCTCTGCCCAGCTGTCCTGGCTGCCCACCAACAGCAACTACAGCCACGTCATCTTCCTCAATGAGCAGGAGTTGGATGTCGTCAGGGCTGCCAGGTACAAGTACCAGTTCTGCAACCTCAGGCCCAACATGGCTTACAAGGTGAAGGTCCTGGCCAAGCCCCATCAGATGCCCTGGCAGCTCCCCCTGGAGCAGAGGGAGAGGAAGGAGGCCTTCGTGGAGTTCTCCACGCTGCCTGCAGGTGAGCCGTCTTTCCCTTGAGGGGACACCAGGATGTTACCCTGTGCAAGTGGCGGGGCGGGAGGGGGCAGCGGGAGGGGAGCTGCAGACAGCCAGTACTGTCCTGGAGCATCCTTGAATTAGCTGGGACACATGAGCCGCGAATGTGTGTGTGAGACAGAGATGGAGGGAGTGGGAGAGAGAACTCCGATTCTGTTTGGGGCCGTGTTTTTGGACATATTTAAGGCTTGCATCTGTAAGACACTCATCCTACAGACAGGAAACAATGGGAGAATCCTAGGGGGCGGGAAGCTCTGTCTTCCTGGGGCCACCGACTCCTGGACACGTGCTCACTGAGAGGAACAGAGAAAGGGCGCCTGTAGTGCTCTCACAATTGTTCTCTCGCTCTCATTTTTTCTTTTTGTCTTCTTTTTAAAAAAATATTTATTTATGTATGTATGTATTTATGGGCTTCCCAGGTGGCACTAGTGGTAAAGAATCTGCCTGCCAGTGCAGGAGATGTAAGAAATGGGGGTTCAATCCCTAGGTCAGGAAGACCCGCTGGACAAGGAAATGGCAACCTGCTCCAGTATTCTAGCCTGGAAATATCCCATGAACAGAGGAGCCTGGCAGGCTACAGGCTACGTGTCGCAGAGTCAGACACGATAGCATGGACACACACACACACACACACACACACACACACACACATTATTTATTTGGCTGTGCCACGTCTTAGTTGCAGCATGTGGGATCTAGTTCCTGGGCTAGGTGTGGAACCTAGCCCCCTGCATTGGGAATCACTGGATCACCAGGGAAGTCCCTCATGTTTTCTCCTGGTATATATATGGCTATAGAAGACATGAAGTTCCGTTGTGGATACGATTTGGGGTTCTGGACACCTCTGTCTGCTAGGGGAACACCACCTTCCTCCCTGACTTCCAAGCTGTAACAGGAGGAGGGGTGATCCCTCTCCCAGTCCCACACCTACTCCCTCCGGGGAAACCATAAAGAGATAGGATGAAATGGACGAGCCTGTGGGAGTCTTCCCATCCTGTGATTTATTCGGATCCTATAGCTGTTAAGGGTCATCTCCATAAAGTTCCACCATGCTCATCTTGGCTGGGGCACACATATTAGGTTGGCCAAAAAGTTCACTTGGGGTTTTCCATAAAATCTTAACGAACATTCTGGCATACCCAAAAACAGACAGCCCTTCTGAACAAGACAGCTAGGCCCAGGGTGTGAGCCTGAACACTTGGGAGGAGCAGCCTTCCTGGAGCAAAGACGATCGTGTCTGCAAAAACATTCGAGGGCCTATTTTGATTTTTCAGTGGCCTTTCTTAGTCCTGTGATGTTCACAGAATTCCCTTGAAACGTGTGTCTGGATACTTTCCTTGGATTTGTCTTCTGTGATTAAATTAATCCAGTTCTGCCCAACTTCAGTTGTCAGGCTGGTTTTACAAACAACTCAGTGGTTCTCCAGGATCATTTCTACCAGCTGCAGAAAGCCTAATATCTAATGCAAGATGGGCCCTCCATTTTGCAATGGATTTACTTTTTATTGCATGTTGCTCTCCACTCTTTATGAAATCCATCATCAACTAGAGTCTGACCTGTGCATATATGCTCAGTCATTCAGTCATGTCCAGCTCTTTTGTAACACCATAGACTGTAGCCCACCAGGCTCCTCTGTCCATGGAATTTTCCAGGTAAGAATACTGGAGTGGGTTGCCATGCCCTCCTCCAGGGGATCTTCCCAACCCAGGGATCAAACCAATATCTCTTGTGTCTCCTGCACTGGCAGGTAGATTCTTGACCACTGCACCACCTGGCAAGCCTAGAGTAATGTAACCTACAAAGAAGCAAGGTCAGGGGCAGTTGGGACAGACACTGTTTCAAGGAGAAAGTGGTCTGAGCAGTAACTGATTTATGAAGGGTCCATTCATTCATCTTATAAGGTGATGTTAGATTTCCTGCCTATGGGGATGTTAATTGCAGATACAGTAAGTCCCCTACATTTGAGCCTTCAAGTTGTGCACATTCAAAGATGTGAACATGCGTTCAAATGTCCAGTCATGGAAGTTAGCCCTGTGCCTGGCATACATTGTCAAATGCGTGCATCCTCTACAAGCAGTTGTACTTTTGTGTACTTTACAAGTACTACGTAGAGGACAGTAGTACAGTATCTTTATTTCAAGTCCAGAATGTCTGGAACCAAGCTTAAAAGCAGCGGTGACATAGCTGGTACTGCTAAGAAGCGCTAAGTGATAACAATGGAAACAGAAGTGAGAAAAGTTGAAAGTGTGAATTGAGGTGAAAAGATAGCTTGCCCTCCATCTCCTATTGCAGATAATCCTTCAGTCCTACTATCTCCCGCCTCCTCTCTCTCCTCCAGTCAGGAACTCTTCTTGTCTGTCCACCCGATGCCAGCTGCTATATAGTACTACTGTACTATTCAAAGTACTGTACTGTAAGATTAAAATGCTTTCTTTATTTTTTGTGCTTGTTATTTTTATGTATTATTTGTAAGAGAAGTATCATCAACTTAGTACAGTACTACATAGCTGACTGTGTTAGTTGGGCACCTAGGCTAACTTTGTTGGACTTACGAACACACTGGACTTGTGAACGCACTCTCAGAACAGAACTTGTTTGTATGTAGGGGACTTATTGTGCAGACCGGAGCTATTCATTGATTCCTGCCATGAAGTCTTGTTGTCCTTGCTGGGGGTGAAGAAGTGAGAAACACCAAATCTGGGGACCCCAGGGGCTCCAAGGAGAGGTGAGAAGCGCATCCATTAGGACAGCCAGGAAAGGCTTCGTGAAGAAGCTCACTGAGATGGAGAGATATGAGGACCAAGAGGAAATGCTGAGCCCAGGGCAGGATCCTACAGGTCCACACCCAGTTCCTGGGTGTCCTAGTTAGCTCGGGCTGATATATAACAAAGTACCATAAACTGAGTAGATTATCAACAACAGACACTTATTTGTCACAGTCCTGGAGGATGGAAGTCCAAGCTCAAGGCCTGGACAGACTCAGTGTCTGGTGAACCCACTTACTGGTTTATAGACGGTGTCTCCTCTGCATCCTCACCTGGTAGACGGCACCTTGTTAATAAGGGCATGAATCCTGTTCATGGGACCTCCAGCCTTGAGACCTGATCACCTCCCACAGCTGCCTTCTGTGAATGCCGTATGAATCTGGGAGGGGCACAAATGTCCAGTCAGTCCATAGCAGACTAGCTCCTTTGCCTGCCCAGAAGGAGGGGAGTTTCAATCGTGGAAATGACACAGGTGACACGCATGAGGTGTGTGGTTGGACCAAACACCCCCATGTGACAGAGAGCCACCTCTGGGCCCATGGAGGGCTGGGCCGGAGCTGGCAGGTCACAGCTACTCAGGTCTTCCCCGCTCACAGAACCCTGGCCCTCCACTGTTACTGCCGTGCTAGTAGAAGCAGGCGTCCAGCAAACCCCCAGGCCAGTTTCAATTCTCGACCTACAGCCTTAAGGATAATGAGCCGTCATCAGAGCCGAACCATCCAGGTTAAATCTAACTTCTGATCCCAGTTGCTCAGCAGTTCGGAAGCCTCGCATCACAGCGCGTTGAGGGTGGAGTCGCATCATAAACTACAAAGCCAGCCCAGCTTCCAACACATGACAGCTGAGCGGCTTCTCTCGAACCTTAATTTCCTCATTTGCAAATGAGGATGCGCTGAACTCACAGGACTGTTGTGCAAATCAAGTGATGTCAGGTGTCCAAAGTGAGTAGCAGAATGAGCAGCAAGTAGAAAAGCTTCAGCAAAGAACCCTTCCTCGCTTATGTAGAAATCCACAGGGCCACAGCAAGGTCTTGGAAGAGGAGGCTCATAGCCTCCTTCCTGGAAGTTGCACATTTCTTTCAAAATATAATGCTATAGTTATAGGACCTTTGGGGCTTCTCGTGTGGCTCAGTGGTAAAGAATCCGCGCCTGCCAATGCAGGAGACAAAGGAGACTCAAGTTCGATCCCTGGGTGGGAAAGATCCCCTGGAAAAGAAAATGGCAACCCACCCCAGTATTCTTACCTGGGAAATCCCATGGACAAGGAGCCTGGTGGGCTACAGTCCATGGGGTCACAAAGAGTCAGACACGACTTAGCAACTCAACAATGACAACATAGGACTTCTGCACCAGACCCGGAGGCAAGGGAGCTGCCTGAGGGTTGTAGGGCAGACGGGCAGTCCTGCTGTCACCAGGAGCCACTGGGAAGGACCAGTGATGTGACACCTGTCTCTTTGTTGCTTGAAGTAGCTGCTCAGGACTTTCAAAGCAAGTGTCTCAGCTGGTCGGCCGGGCAGTGTGTGTGTGTGGAGTTGGCATCCTGGTGGCTTCATCAGAACCACCTCTCTCCAGCTTCTGGTTCCATCCTCTCTCTCGAGGTGGCAAGATGGGTGTTGTGTGGTCCAGTTTACTGGCCTCAAGTCTGATGGAGAGAGAGAAGGAGGGATGGAGGCAACTGGAGGGAGGACGGGGCACAGAGAGAGAGGCAGTGGGGATCTCCTCTGCAAACGCTGGGACCTGGTGGCTGACTGGCCAAGCCAGAGTCGCAGGTTGGCCTGGGGACCGAGCACAGGGAGCGGGTTCCAGGAGGGCCTGGCGTGCATCCGGGAGCTGCTACTTCCTGGTCCTCCTGATCTGCCATCACACTTCGGATTCTCCCCTCGTCCCCTGGAGGCTGTAATGAAAGATCTCGTTCCGAGGTGCCACTGGCTGGTCAGGCATGGCAGCAGCTTGCTTGCCAAGAAGTCATGTCATGAAAGTGTCTCTGCCTCTGTCCCCCCAGGTCCTCCAGCACCCCCACAAGATGTTGCTGTCCAAGCTGGGACCACCCCAGCCACCGTCCAGGTCTCCTGGAGGCCGCCCACTCTGACGGCCACTGGGCTATCCAATGGAGCCAATGTTACCGGCTACGGCGTGTACGCAAAAGGGCAGAGGGTGAGTTTTTATTGGGGTGGTGCTCACATCCAGGCCCCCCGGCCACCGCTCACCATTCAGCGGGGGGTGACCCTCCCTCTCTCCTCAATCCCCAAGACCCACTAGCAGTTACTAAGCATCCCCTACACTGCCACCCCAGGCCAAGCTGCAGAACATGGAGAACCTCCATCCTTTTCTGCTTCATCCTCTTTGCAGAATGTTCTCTGCCCCCCTCCCACGCTGGTTACCTGCTCCAGTCTGATGGTAGTCCCTTTTCTTGTTCCCCTCTGGCTACCAAAAATTCACCTCTCTTGAGTCCCATGACATCAGGGCCCCCTCAATAGATGATGGGCTTGTGGATTCCACCATATCTATTCTTGGGGAGATGTAGTCTTGTCCAAACACCTCGGAAACTGCAGAATCCTTAATGCGCACGATCGGGCAGCCCCTAATCTCAGCCCCCATCCCTGTCCTGGTACGTGAAATAGACAGGGCTGCTTTAGGGGGGCGGGGCCTGAGCAAGCTTCTGTCTGTTCCCCACCCTCCCCACCCCATTTCCCCATACAGCCAGGAGGTGGTGTATCAGATGCTCTCTCTGTGAGAGTGACTGCTGTAGGCCGAAAGGCCCCTCTCTGATCCCTGCTCCCCTCCCCGGAGGGGTCCACAGACATGCCTCCACCACAGCTAGAAGCCCGTCTGTTGTGGCCTCCCCGTGGCATCTTCCTTGAGCCGAGCTTTGGCAGTAATAAGAGCCTAGTGTTCTGATTCCTCTGTGGCCCCCGCATCTGTTTCTAGATTGGTTCTAGACGTGGAAGAAAAGCATGTGCTCAGCTGTCCCTCCAACCCGCCAACATATGGGCGGGAACTGGGGCTCCAGACGGATCTGATTTGCAGGCTGTGCAGCGCGGTCTGAGTTGGATGTCCATGGGAGGCCCGGGAGGCGTCTGGGGGACCTGGGGCGCAGGCAATCCCCAAGCCGAGCTGGCTTTCTCTGTGCACAGGTTGCTGAGATCATCTCGCCCACAGCGGACTGCACGGCCGTGGAGCTGGTACGCCTGCGCAGCCTGGAAGCCAAGGGCGTGACCGTGCGGACCCTCTCTGCCCAGGGCGAGTCCGTGGACTCTGCTGTTGCTGCCATTCCCCCTGACCTCCTGGTGCCTCCAACCCCCCACCCGAGAACTGCTCCCACACCGAAGCCATTAGCAAGTGCCGGAGCCCCCGAAACCAAAGATGAGCACCCGGGTCCCCACGCCACGATGGACGAGGCCTGGGAACACGGCCGGGCACCCGCCCCAGCCCACGGGCACCTGCTGGAGCCGCCCGGCCTGCAGGGCTCGGGCCCCGGGCGGCGGTCGCCCTCGCCCAGCCGCATCCTCCCGCAGCCGCAGGGCACCCCGGTCTCCACCTCGGTCGCCAAGGCCATGGCCCGGGAAGCCGCACAGAGGGTGGCTGAGAGCAGCAGGGTAAGGCCAGGTGTTTTCCTCACTGGTTCAGCTCCCCGCGGAATGCGGTTCATCCCTGCAGCCCAGCTGTGATGGAATCTCCCATCCGCACCCCGAGTCTGCGGGGAGAAGCGCCCCAAACACCCAGCCCCCGAGAATGGCTGCCTTGACTTGGGAAGAAGGATGCCCTGTTTATCTGATCAGTCTTAGGTCTTATCCTGATGGAATCAGGATCCATTTCATAGATATGGACCTAGAAAACCAGAGGAGATGGTTATCTACCAGCCTGGCTTAGCAAAGGGGCTAACAACCCACTGTCTGGGTGGTCTCTGTCCAGGGATCTGAGGTGCCTCCTGGGAGTAGGCTTGGGGACCCATCTTCCTAAACAAGGGTCACCTTCTGGCTCACTCACTTCAGACTTCTAGCTGTGTGTGTGTATGTGTGTGTGTGTGTACATACACAGACATACATACAGGTGTATGTATACATGCATATACACAGAGAGACACTTATATACACATATGTATACATACAGATGTGTTTCCCTGATGGCTTAGATAGTGAAGAATCTGCCTGCAACGTGGGAGACTCGGATTCAGTCCCTGGGTTGGGAGATTCCCCTGGAGAAGGGAGTAGCAACCCATTCCAGTAATCTTGCCTGGAGAATTCCATGGACAGAGGCTACAGTCCCTGGGGACTGAGCAAAGAGTCGGACACGACTGAGTGACTAATACAGGTATACATACACACTTACATGGAGAAGTGCAGGCACATACATATATTTGTCTGCCTGTCACTCAAAATTGCCTGGGTCCTGGGGAGGGGGAGTATTTGGATGACAGTAGGACCATGTCCCAGGTGAAATGTGCAATGAGATGGGAAGTTCTAGGAAACACCCGTGAAGGAATACAGGAGAGCTGAGGTGGAGCTGAGCTAGGCCACGCCCTCTTCCTGCCCCTCTCTTCCTTCAGTTCAGTTCAGTCGCTCAGTCGTGTCCAACTCTTTGCGACCCCATGAATCGCAGCACACCAGGCCTCCCTGTCCATCACCAACTCCAGGGGTTTACTCAAACTCATGTCCATCAAGTCTGTGATGCCATCCAGCCATCTCATCCTCTGTCGGCCCCTTCTCCTCCTGCCCCCAATCCCTCCCAGCATCAGGGTCTTTTCCAATGAGTCAACTCTTCGCATCAGGTGGCCAAAGTACTGGAGTTTCAGCTTCAGCATCAGTCCTTCCAATGAACACCCAGGACTGGTCTCTCTTCCTTGGGTGAATCCATCTACCAGGGTGCCCAGTTCATCTGCTCCAAGCAGGAGGTCAGGGCCCCACGGTGGCCTCTGCCCTGACGCCTCCCCTCTCCTCTCCCAAGTTAGAGAAAAGGAGCGTCTTCCTGGAGAGGAGCAGCGGACAGTATGCAAATTCAGATGAGGAGGATGGCTACGAGTCCCCGGACGTCAAGAGGAGGGGCGCATCTGTGGATGAGTTCCTGAAAGGCTCAGAGCTGGGCAAACCGGTGAGTTCTGCCCACTCCCCTCCCACCATGGTGGCTCCCTGTGGGAGGGGTTCAGGTCCCTGCACGCCCCGGGTCTGTGAGAAAGATAAAGGGGTACAGACCTTTATCTTGTGGGTGACAACAATCACAGTCAGTTTGGAGAGTTTAGACTGAACGGTGCCTGTGCATTTGTGACCTCACTGGGGGACAATGTCAAAAGTCTGTATGTGAGCCTTTTGCCCTCCCAACTGCCCTGTCCGAGGATCCGTTCATGGGCTGATTTTGTGCATCAGGTGAGTCTCCAGGTGACCACCTGGTCTCAATGTAGGCAAAACCTACCATTGGTTTCTTTACTTTTGTTCATCAGGGTGTGTGATGTGCATCAGCTAAGTGCTATGCATCATGGGAGATTCAGAAATTGAAAGGTCCATATCCCACCCTTGGAGAGATGAAATATCAGGGCTTCTCCTCTCATACAAGGTTCACAAGTGACAAATCCATCCAAGATAGGTTCTGTCTCCAATTTCTGATCATGCATATTCTAATGAAAATGTCCTTGAATGGTGTTGAGCCCCAGTCCTGGGCAGCAGGGAAGGGTGGGGCCAGAAGAGTCCTCAGATCTTGAGATATCAGAGAGCGAAGTCCTCTCAGTTGTCAGATCCTTCAGTCCCCTCAACACATGGCTCTCCAGCAAGGCAGTGTCTGTACCTCCATGAGAAGAGGGCCTTGGAATCTCATATACTTGGGGTCACTTCCTGGCTCTGCCACTGCTAGCAGGCAAGTGACTCAGCTTCTCCAATCATCAGGTTCTTTATCTAAAAGATTAAGATCATTCTACTTGTATTCTTGTAAACACAAGAAACAGAATGCTCAACTAATAATGACTAAGATAACAAAGACATTACATTCTCCCCATCACAGGAAGCCTCAAGGAGGATGCTGCAAAGTTGATTCAGTTGTTCAATTGTCTTCCAACTCTGTGTTCTTTTTTTGTTAATTGAAGGATAATTGCTTTACAGAATTTTGTTGTTTTCTGTCAAACCTCAACATGCTCTGGGAAAACATTTTCCAGAAGCTCCATCAGACTTCTCATCTCACTGAGTAGACCAGGGTCATGTGCCCATCACCAAGAGATTCCTATGAATGTCTTATCCATGATAAATTTGGCAAACAATAGACACTTACTTCCATCCCATGAGTTTATTACTAACTCATCATTGGGTTTGGATCAAATGAGACTGTGTTCTCTAGGGGAGTTCCTTCCCATTTGCTTGGGGAAGCCCTCATTCAAACCAACCTGATGCTTGTTTATTCATCTAAAACCAATTCACTTTTATGTCTTCTCCAAGGCACTTGATTGAAAGAAATAGGGCTGGAGCAGGTCAAATGATGCTGCACAGACTTCTCCGACTGAGAACATCCAGGCCACTAATCTGAGGGCTCAGCTGGGGTGGGACCCCTGGTGGGACCCCCCTCACTGGGCGCTCACACTGCCTCCCCATGTCTTTATATAGAGGAGCAACTGAAACCACTTTTTAAAGTTTTATTTGTTTCACAAATGAGCAGTTTTTCCTCCCCCTATTTTTTTTTGGCTGTGCCACATGGCATGTGGGAATCTTAGTTCCCCAACCAGGGTACAAACCCATGTCCCCTGCAATGGAAGTGCAGCATCTTAACCACTGAATTGCCAGGGCAGTCCCTAAGCTGGATGTTCTTAATAAACATGTCACAAGATGCTATTAAATACACTCGTCTTGTCGCCCACCAGGAGAATAAAGAAATCGATCTTCATCAACACTGTTCAGCAGAAGCAGAATAGCTTTGTGTGTGTTTCAAAGTCAAAAGTCAAAGTGTTGGTTGTGGAGTCGGGTCCGACTCTTTGAGACCCCATGGACTGTAGCCCATTGGGCTCCTCTGTCTGTGGGATTCTCCAGGCAGGAATACTGGAGTGGGTTGCCATTCCCTCCTCCAGGGGATCTTCCCAGCCCAGGAATCGAATCCCAGTCTCCCACATTGCGGGCGGATTCTCTACTGCCTGAGCCACTGCGGAAGCCCCCTATGCGTGTTTGAGGCTCATAAATTGGAGCTCATAAGGTGTGCTGTATGAGCTGCTGGAAACGCTCTGAGCTGCTGAGGGAGGCACTTGCTTTGTGGATGGGAAGGGGCTGCTGAGTTGGACCCGCCCCTCATCCCAAACCCCATCAGGGTGGCTGGTGGTTCGGTTTACGCATCAGTTAGCAAGCTTACTTTTACTTGCTCTCTCTTTTTTTTTTAATGGGCAAACAAGTTCTGATTAAAATTTGGTTTTGTCATTAGGATGATCGTTCATGTTGTGGTTATTCAGGGAGAAAATTTGAACAATGTGGAAAGTGCTTGTGTTAAATAAAAGATGCAGAAAAACACACGTGTTTATAGAATATGAGCGCAGGATGTACAAAGTAGGAGAGAAGATGAAAATATACCAAAATGTGAAGGAAAATAGAAAAGAGATGAGGAGGGAGAAGTTTGTAAAAATCAACCTTCTCAAGATTGCCTCTGCTGCTGCTAAGTCGCTTCAGTTGTATCCAACTCTGTGCGACCCCATGGACTGCAGCCCACCAGGCTCCCCCGTCCCTGGGATTCTCCAGGCAAGAACACTGGAGTGGATTGCCATTTCCTTCTCCTACTTGCTCTTCGGTTGACCCTTTCCTCTGTCCCCAGGCTTTTTGCCAAGCAGTCTCAGTGGCAGGTCTTCTCCAGTGTGGGTGGCCAGACTGGCCACGACTGGGCACACCACACGGGGAGGTGTCCCTCCCACCCAGACCAGGCTGTTCACCAATAACCCAGTGTGCATATGCATGAATTTGACTCCATGTTTTTCTTAAAACTCTTAGACACTTTTATTAGTGCACATGCCCCTACTTGCCCACCACCCGCCACTGTCTGCTGCACGACCCTAGATGCAACATACATGCATGTCTCTGAGCCTGCTGCCACCTGTGTTTACAACCTCTCACTTGCATCTTTGTCCAGCCACGAAGTTGGAGAGGCTGCCGGTACCTAGGAAAGTGATGTTTTCCCGTGTGTATTCTGTCCTGCCCGGAGCCCAGGAGGGGCCTCTGCCTGCCCCCGTCCAGACTTGGGAGTGGGAACGCCTGATCTGGTCCTCTCTCTGCCATCCTGGCTCCCCATGAGCTCGGGAACTGTGATTCCCTCCCCTCCAGAGTGAGCGGTTCTCACCCAGACACACACACACATCCCTGAGCTCGAGAGTGGGCAGAGCAAGGGAGGGTGTGGGACTCCGTGTGTTGGAGTCGCCCCTCCATCCACGTCCTCTTCTCCTGCCCCAGCCACACTGTTGCCATGGAGACGAGTACCACACGGAGAGCAGCCGGGGGTCTGACCTCTCGGACATCATGGAGGAGGATGAGGAGGAGCTGTACTCTGAAATGCAGCTGGAGGACGGGGGCAGGAGGCGGCCGAGCGGCACGTCCCACAATGCCCTCAAGGTCAGTGCGGGGGCGCTGCCCCCCCCCACCGCCGTCCCCACCGTCCCCCATCCCTGTTCCTTTGGGGGGCTGTGCAGCTGGCTCCAGAGGGGCCTTGCCCGGCAGGCACAGTCCCCAGATTTGGATGGGCTTCTCTCGCTATTGAATCTGCGCTCGGGGTCTCCCGTCCCTCCTCTTGGCCAAAAGTCTGGGTGAAGGAGTCTGGGAGAATCCACTGGGCATCCCTGGGTCGCCCAGCTCTGTACTAAGAACCCAATCAGAAAGAATAGAATGGAGAAGCTTCCACCCCCAGCCCCAAACCCCTGGCCGCATGTCCGTCTGCAGAGCAGGAGGAGCTAGGAGGGCGGGAGCCTGCCTCCGAGTCTGACTGGAGATGGGCAGCTGGGGAGTTAGGAAGAGATTCTTTAGTGAAATTGACTGAGGTGGACCCTGCTGGACGGCTGGAGGGCCAGGGGGAGGGGACCTCAGAGGAGGTCAGAGGAGGGTCAGTCGACCTCCTGGGGTCCACACACAGGCCCCTTCTCAGACACCTCTCACCAGGGATCGTGGGATCCTCTGGCTCTGCCTCTGATGTGGCTTTTGGCGAGGGGTTTGATGAGGGTCACCTTGATGGAGATTGAGCTCGAGGTCCCCCTGGACCCCACCCCTGGGGTGCGCCCCCTTCCTTGTCTGAGAGGCTGTGTTGCCGCTGCTGCTACCGCCTGCTCCAGCTGGGCTTCTGTTCACTCGGCACAAGCGGGTCACCCTGTGCACCAGACCTTCCGCCAGGCTGGGGGGTGAGGACAGACGTGGCCCCCGAGCTCCAGCAGCTGCAGGCCTAGCCGGGGAGACAGACGGGTTGGGCCTTTGTGGGGGTTTTCAAATGAAAAGGGCCTTGGAGAGGAAAGTCCCGCTGGGGGATACAGTGCTGGAGCCCGGCCTTTCTCTGGGAAGACGGAACCACGCAGTTTGAATGGTGGACAGAAAGCAACATCCAAATCTGGCTGCTAACTCAGTGCCCACTTGCATAGAGCAGACTGACTTATGTTCTCCCAGCAAAGGCAGGGCCTTGGAGACACTGTCACCAAAGAACATGCCAGATCCCTATGCAAACCCCGCATGGTTGCAGCCCCCGCTACCCCCACTGGCTGACCCCATCCCTCCTCCCCTGAACCACTGTCCAGCAGGATTCACAGTGACCTTCATGGCGGAGGAAGGCCCCAAGCTGCCCGTGATCCAGCCTGACCGCCCCTGCCTCCCCACACTTCTCTGCCGCTGGGCGCTCTGATGAGGCGGTGTCTGCTTCCGTCCCCCCAGTGCCCCCGGCAGCCTCCCCACTTCTCCTTGTGGAGGAAGCTTCTGGGATGCTCCTTCCTGCCAACTGTTAGCAAAGAAACCAAAGGTCACCTTGTCTTTCCCAGGGAAAAGGTCTAGTTCGTAAAATCACCCACGTCCTCCCCCCACCAGACCGGCCGCCCTTAGAGCAGCCGCCGGGACAATCGGACCACCAGGCAGTGGGGCTGAGCTCACTTCACTTCGTCCACAGGGTTCTGACATTTTTTTAAAAGTCAGGATGCACGGGGTTCCGTGGGGCCCAGATCTGGGCCGCCCGGGCTCACCTCCCCTTGCGGGAGCCCCACGGAACCCCATGCATCCCCACCCAGCTCCCGCCCCGCTCCTGCTTCCTTACTGCCCTTCACCCCAGGGTTCCCAAACCTCAGGGTCTCAATAGCAAACGAACGAAGCGTGCGCCATGCTCTTCATTTGGCTTTCTCGTGGGCTCTAGGCCTGCTATAGATGCTGCACTGGGTAAACCCATCATGTGCCTGGGATCTGCAAGGCGGCGTGGGGGTGAGGACAGGGCAGCAAATCCTGATATTCCTCCACAACTCATCTCTAATGCGCATGCCCGGAGGCCTATGGGCGGAAAAGTGGGGGTCAGGCTTCCTGGAGTCAGCGAGGTGTCCCAGGAGGTATGGCCAGCGGGAGCCGGGGATGGGCGTGCCAGCCATTCCTGGAGAGAGAACCACACGCCAGGACAGGGAGCGTGGGGTGTCCACCCTCGGCCTCCATCTGGGTGGGCCAGCCCTGAGCCCCTGCTGCCCACACTGCTGGCGATGCGGCTCCTCTCTCCCGGCCCTGGGGTCTGGGGTCTGGAGGAGAGACTGATGGGCCCTAAGCCTTTGCAGACATGGGCCAAGCAAATGACTTTGGGTCACTGAGTGCCAAGGTCCCCCGGGTTCACACCCTTCCACTTGAGCCGGGAGAGAGGCATAGGTGGGTTTCACGGGATGCTGAGTGCTTACAGTGACAAGCAGAGTGGAGCGGCATGGCCGGGTTGGGGCCTCTGTGTTGTGAATGGTCTCCACTCACCGGCATCCCGGGGCAGCTGCCTTGGGAGTTTCACAGGCTGCAGCCAGCGGCCAGTGAACTCGGACGTCCCCGGCCTCTGGGCACAGCCATGTCACAGACCCTAGCGCCTCGGTCAGTGTGAAGCCTCCTACCTCCATCCTCCCCACATCCGCGGCCCAGCGGCCTCTCATTCCTTGGTTTGGCTGCATGGCTAGTCCTGACGGCGTCGGGACGCTCTGCGTGCGCTCGGCCCCCTGGCTCCGGCCCCATCCATGTAACCCATTCTGTTTTCATTCCAGAGCCCTGGTCAGAGCATGCCATCTGCCCCCACCCGCCGCCCCCCGCCCCACCACAAGTACAAGCATGCTCTCTGTCCCTCATGGCCTCGGAGACTAATCTCTCTGTATTTTCTTTCCTTCCCTCTGCCCCCCTTCATATGCGATCATACACTGACTCCCGGCACCTGTGCTAACACCCCCCCCCCACCCTTAAGGAGTGCTCTAAGAATAGGACCACTGAACGTGCTTTCTCGGAGTTACCCGAGTATCCTCAACAGACCCATCACACTAAGAGACTTTTCAGTATCCCCGAAGTAGCAGAGGAGGACGGAGAGTCTTGTGAGTTCCTGCATAAGCAGGCCTTAGGGTCCTCCTCCAGGGTCAGGACCGGGCTGGCCAGAGAGCCCAGGCCCGCCAGGCCCTGCCGGGGGCACGAGGCCCTCCAAGGCTCCTGGTACCCCGTGAAACCCAGGGGCCCCCAGGCCGACGACGACCTCGTATTCGAAGACAGAGGCTGTCGGTTCAGCCGCTCGGCCGCCAGGAGCCCGGACAGCGGCCTGGACTGTGGCAGTGAAGAGGAGGAGATGCGATTTAGTTTCCAAAGCCCTAATGCCCAGTGCAGCCCCGGGCCCGGGCACTGTCCTTGTAGGAGGAGCCTGAGGCCCCTGCTGGCCCGGCGCCGGACGCTGACCCGGCAGAGCAGCATCGAAGAGGATTTTGGGGAGCCAGTGGAGCCCGGTGACGTCATCAGGAGCGATGAGCCCCACCCGAGCCCAGAGAGGTCCACCCCCAGCAAGTACGGCTGGGATGAGCCCACGGGCCGCGAGGATTTCCGAGATGCCTGGAAGAAAAGCATAAAAATGCCCGACAGTAGGGCCATTGCCCGACAGGCCCAGCCTCCTCCCCGGGTTGCAGATGGCCCTTTGGTGTGTGAAGTAAACCTCCCGCTCACGTCCGCTTGCCAAACCAATCCGTTTTCATTCTTTCACCTTCTTTCTTTGTTTTGGTGCCCGTCCCGGGCACTCTCTCTGCCGGCTCTCTCTCATTTTCCATGCATTTTTGATTTATGAAGCTTCCCAATCTTTTCACCATGCTGATGATTTCTTTACTTTGCTTTAGAATAATGATCCCCTTCCCACCTCCAAATCAATGATGATTATGGCTGCTTTAATTAAAGGACAACTGAATCTAAATTTTAATTAAGGGTTAGCTGAACTCTGATTCTCCCAAAGTTTGGCAACACGTCCTTTTCAAAATGAACCGTGGGGATGTATTTATGACAGACTGGTATTACTTACTGAGGGTTTTTTCCTGGTGGTTGTTTTGGTTTTGGGTTGTGGTTGGTTTTCTAGTTCATCCATAACTGGAAAAAAAATGGAGAACAATTATTGAAGAGATCCACTTTTGCATTTGTTTCCAAAGGTTTTTTTTTTTTTTTCACGTTTCTTTCCTGAGAGCAGTTTTCTGAATGAATTTTCCATCATCAGCTCTAGACACATCCCCGGGCCTTGTCTTCCAGGCTTGTGAGTGGTTTTCAAGAGTAGGGATTCCTTCACGGCTTCATTCATCTCTATATTGTGTCCTCTTTTCAGAACATTTGCTCCTGTCATGCTGAACTTTTCCATGAAAACACAGGTGAGACATCCCAGGGCGCCAGGCCTTGGGCTTGAGCCGGTGCAGTTTGCGACATGTCCACTAGAGGACGCCGACCCCACAGTTTACCGACGCACCCGCAAACTGCAGCCCACTGCCTGTTCAAACTCATTTCTGAAGCTCCCAGCCCTGATTCATTACGTGTCCCTGAAAAGTTCCTCAATTAAGTCACCAGTGAGCTGGAGGTTTTGCTTTGATTCTCGCATAGGATGCGAACCTTTAGTACGAATCAGAGGCAAAACTTATCCTTAAAGGAGAATAGTTCGGGTTAGCCCTGAAATGTGATTGGTTTGGAAGTCTTTGGATTAGCGTCAAGACAGCGCCATGAGTCTCAGAGCTGATCATGCACAGAAACTCGTCTTTGAGTTTTCGGTAACCTCGCACACAGCTTTGCCCAAGCGGGACATGTGGGAAATGCAGCGTTTTTCCCACCTTTGTGGTCACTGAAGGAGGGCAGACTGTAGAAGAGAGGTACCAAAGGCGTGACGAGGCTTATCTAAGCCACTCTCACTTATGGCTCAAAATATTTGGCTTCAGCGGCAGTATCAGCAACAAAAAGACGCCTCCCGAGGGGTTCTCTCGCCCCGCCCGGAAAAGCAACTGTGCTGTAGAAGATGGGGTGCCTGGGGTGAGCACTCTTTTTCTCTTCCAGGTTATTCAGCTAACCTTTCAGTTAAAAGCTAAGTTTAGTTGCCTTTAGAGCTTCTGCTTCTAAGTTGACTTGATTTGGCTGAGTTAATTCTTTTCTTCCCACGGCTGGCAAGACTGATGACCGTGTCATTGTTTTGTCTTTAGATTTTAGGAAACCCGGTGACCGCAGGACGGGCTGATCGGGCGGATCACGTGGGCCGGAGGTTTTCCCACGGCAGTGCTGCTTCCCACAGGTCCCGGCCAATGATGGTCCATTCTGCGGGTTAGTGAGCCGGATGGAGGCCTCCGTCTTTCTTTTAACCACAGAGCACATGGCTCAATCTAAACATTTTTTTAAAAAATTATTAGGAATAGCATTTTCAACTAAATACAGAAGATTCTTGGTTATTTATGGCAAAAGAAGGCAGAAACAGAACCAAATAAATGAAACCTAAATTTAAGTATTCTTAAAATATATTGACTTTGGACGTCAATCTTCTCCCTACCAATTTTTATTTTTATTTTTTTGAACTGCAGAGGCTGTCATCCAAGCATGGAAGAGATGATAATGGGGCATCTCCCCACCTAAGTTCATGCTCTCCTGAAATGCTCATGGTCAGAGCAGCAGAGACAGGGATGGGTGGCTGAACTCCAAATACCTAAATGAGCCCCCAGCCAGTGGAGAGTTATCTGTATGCATGAAACACTTGGGCAACTGGGGTTGAAAGTTATGAAAAACAGCAGGAGGCCTGAATGTGTGCCCTGAACTGTGTGTTGACCCTGTCTGTCCATCTGGCCACCTCCTTGTGCATGAGTCATCCTCCGGCATCCAATTCCATTCTCTTAATTACTTTTTGGAATTCAGCCAGCCGTGCTGAAAGCTGTCATTGTAGTCATTCTCATCAGTCCACTAAGAGGGGGAGCGTGGCCGAAGGTCAGATGGGAACCTTTCTATTACTGGAATGAACCCCGGCATAACAGTTCCAAAAAGTATTATGTGCGAGATAATGGAATCTGGTAATCAGCACAAATAAACTAGCTTTTTGTGAAAACACACACACACACACACAAGGGAAATAAAGCAAGAGACCCATTCATGGATCAGAAGTAGATGAGAGAGAAACACTGATCTGGTGGGACAAGGCTCAAGGAAAGCAACCCTTGGACAGTCCAGACACCTGGAAACACAGCCCCAATCACGTTTAAATAGCTAAGGTTTAAAAGACAACTGGGCTTTGTTCACATCGGCCAAAAATAATGAAAAACTTTATGAACCGATACAGATCCCCTGAAGTTTTTCTCCTCCTTCTAGATGTTTCTTTCCCGTAGAAACCAAACAATAGGGTAAAAAAGTTTATTTTTCCATCTTTACAGTTTTTAGAATGTTTTTATTTTTATCAGTGAAAAATTGCATAGAATGTTAAAGGACCTTTTAACAGACTGTTTTCAGTTAAGCGAAAAAGTAATAAAATAAGCTGAAAAATAAAATCAGTTGGAAAACACTGGCTTCACATATTACAGACCCACTAGCAGAATTCTGTATATATACTGTGCGGTGCGTAGTCGCTCAGTCGTGTCCGACTCTTTGCGACCCCCATAGACTGTAGCCCACCAGGCTCCTCTGTCCATGGGGATTCTCCAGGCAAGAATACCGGAGTGGGTTGCCACGCCCTCCTCCAGGGGATCTTCCCAACCCAGGGATTGAACCCAGGTCTCCCACACTGCAGTCAGATTCTTTACTATCTGAGGCACTAGGGAAGCCCTTGTGTATACTAAGCCTACATTATTTTTGAGTGTTGTAAACTAGTGCCACATCACTCAGATCTTTATTTAATTTATGTATAATTGCCCCTGTAACAATTACTGAGGTTAAGTAGGATCTCCTGGCTTGTAAAATAAATGACTTGTAGAGTCTTGAGGAACGAGGTGAGGACCAGTTCAAGACCGTTCTTCCTGTTGAATTTGGTTCCTAAGTGCTCATTCAATTGTGACTTTAATGAGTGAATGCTCATTACATGAACTACCACTGTTTCTGTGGTTGAAGTTTAATGTTATGGTACTGAGAAGGGGTGTCCTCTAGAGGAAGCCTCATGGGTCTCCCACTCCAGTCTCCTAGGACAGAGAAGAAAAGTCTACAGGGCTGAAAATTGCCAACTGGGCAAGGAAGTAAAGGAAACACATAAGTGGACCCACAGTCTCCCCATCAGAGTCTTGGACAGTCCTTCAGGTGGATCTGTCTTAAGGGAAAGAATGCAGAAGGCTGCACATGTCTTAATTTTAGTGAAAGACACTAGTTAAGTTAGTAGAGGGCTTCCCTGGTGGCTCAGATGTAAAGAATGTGCCTGCAATGCAGGAGACCTGGGTTCCATCCCTGGGTTGGGAAGATCCCCTGGAGAAGGGAACAGCTACCCACTCCAGTGTTCTGGCCTGGAGAATTCCATGGACTGTATAGTCCATGGGGTCTCAAAGAGTTGGACATGACTGATTGACTTTCACTTCAAGTTAGTAGAAAGAGAGTAATGCTGTGGTAACACCTTCACAAAGAAAAAAAAAATCCTCAATTATAGAACCCAAAAAAGTGTTAAATAAATCCATGATAGAATTTCTTTTATTGTACCTATTCTCTTAGCATGGAGCAAGGCAAGAAAGCATAATTATAAAGCATAATTCATATCAATCGCTTTATATATTCATATACATGTATTCACAGACCAAAGAACCTATTATATTTTCAAAAGACAAAAGTGACTCAAAGAAGAGGAGAATCATGCCCAAAACTCTAGGAAGTGAATGGTCAGTGACATGTGAATAGGCTATTTTCCTCCAGTCTCTGTTTATTTAGTTATATTTTTCTTGTGCCAGTATCAGTAATTAATACTTTAGAAATCTGCCAACTCCAAAAATATCCTTTTCTTTTATGGAGAAACTCAAGTCTATAGACCATATACTTCCTACATATATTTTTTAATAAGCAATGCCTTCACAGCTAAAATATATTATACTTTAAAATATACTCTGGATTTCCTTAATTAAGAAAACAATGCCCCTCCTGATTTAAAAAGATAAAAGTTATGTAGTTCCATATCGAGTAAATTTTAAGTCATAATTAGCATAACAAAAGCCTCATAACCTTAATCAATGACCCCAAATGAGCTTAATCAATGACCCCAAATGAGGATTTCATTGGGTTTGGTTTCTTCCTGTGTAATTTTTGGTCTTTGCATTTATCTAGTTATTCACCTGGCAGATGAAAAGGCCCAAGGGTGTACCCGTCTGAAAAAGAAATACCGCATCCTAGAGCATTCTGCTGTTACTAGTTGACTGTGAAAATCTCCATTTCCTCCCATTTTCTGGGTTATTTTGGCCACTGAGCTTACAAAGCAAGGAAATGCAGCACATTTCCTCTATATCCAGATGGGAAAAGTTAAAATGACTTCACTAAACAAAACTTGACTCTCTAGAAAGGAGACTCGTCTCCCTGGGTTTCCCTATAAGGAGAAGAGGAGCAGCTCTAAAGTGGGTTTCACAGGTGACCCACTTTTTCCCTGTAGAAATTACAATTGAGAGGAACAGAAGAGGCAGGTAGCCTCGGTCAGGTAGTGAGGGAAGCAGTTCAATTATAGAAGACAGTGCTTATTCTGGCAGCACAGGTGGATTCAGGAGCCACCAGGGGCAAGTCCGGGTCTTCAGCTTTGCATGTGGTGTGCAGACCCTTCCTGCTTCCTGACAAAGACCCCCTCCTGCCCCAGCTCAGGATATTCCACATCAGGGCCTCCCAGCCACCCACTCCAAACACTGTGAAGCCAGATTTGTGTGGACACATTCCATGGAGGCCACTGTTCTCTTCCCGTGAGGTCTGATTCCATAAAGTATCTCATGCACCTTCTCTGGAGGAAACACAGTGACATCATACCCACACTTCCACTTACATACACCAACTCCAAGTGCTCCAACCACTTCTGCCTCATCCCGGCTCCTCCCCGCAAACCAGAGAGAGATCCTGTAACGGTGTGGGTGACTGCCTGCTGTTCTCACTGAGCATGGTGCTAGCCTGAGATCCTCTTGCTGGTCTCCATGCCTAATGCCTCCCACTTGGGCTTGGTGTGATTTGGGACTTAAAGACACAGAGGCACAGTTTTCCGCATATCACAGTGCCTAAACTTGAGCCAACTCCTGAGAGCACACGAACTGTAGGAGTAACCCAAAGGTCTTCCAGAGTGATATTGACCTACCCAACACTCCCCTTGTGAGCTTGCCTGTACATTTCAACTCCACGATCATCACGTCAACTTGGTCAAGGAAGCCCTGGGAGCCCTCTGGGTGGGTGCAGCCAAAGTTGTAGCCACAATGCTCCTTCATTGACATTTCCCTCAGCTGAAATGGCACCCACTGGGTCACACTGCTGTTGTATTAAGCTCCTTCTGCAAAACTCCCAAGGTTATCCAGCTGAATTGAAAACAGGCATCCTTATGCTGCTAATGGTTTTCTCTACCATCAGCCACGGGCATGAAAAAACCACTGCATCACTACACATACAGAGATATTCACAGGTCACGAGATGGTGTACCATGATCTTCATGCTGTTTAATTTAGAGAACATTTAATAACTAGGGGGACAAAGTATGAGATCTTCTCATTGGCTATGTGTGCATATGTGCTAAGTCGCTTCAGTCGTGTCCAACTCTGTGCAACGCTATGGACTGCAGGCTGCCAGGCTCCTCTGTCCATGGGATTCTCCAGGCAAGAATACTGGAATGGGTTGCTGTGCCCTCCCCCAGGGTATCTTCCCGGTCCAGGGGTCCAACCTGTGTCTCTTACGTCTACCTGCTTTGGCAGGTGGGTTCTTTACCGCTAGCATCACCTGAGAAGCCCTCTCATTGACTATAAACAAAATCAAAACTAGTGTGAAGAAAGTAAGGCCGGGCTGTTCAGTTTTGTTCCCTTTGAGCTTTCCTGATAGCCCAGTTGGTAAAGAATCAGCCTGCAATGCAGGAGGCTCTGGTCGATTCCTGGGTTGGGAAGATCTGCTGGAGAAAGGATAGGCTACCCACTCCAAGAGTTGGGAGTTGGTGATGGACTGGGAGGCCTGGTGTGCTGCAGTCCATGAGGTCGCAAAGAGTCGGACACGACTGAGTGACTGAACTGAACTCACTCCAGTATTCATGGGCTTTCCTGGTGTCTCAGCTGGTAAAGAATCTGCGTTGACTATAAACAAAATCAAAACTGGTGTGAAGAAATTAGTAAGGCCGTGCTGTTCAGTTTTGTTCCCTAGCAGAAGCAAAGTTACTGAATGTTTAGATTATCTTGGTATCCTAAGAGGATCCTGAATTCAAATAATGTTAACAGTTCACTGCATTTTAAAGACCAACCTTTCCTGCAGTTAAAGTGCTTTATTATTTTTCAACTGCATGCTCCTGCTGGTGAAAGAAGCCAAGACTCTGGCTCTCCCCACAGCCTCCGTGTCGCCCACACAGCTTTGACATCCTCTTGTCCCGCCTCCTGTGCTCCTTGTACTGGAGACACAAATTTTGACCGGCCGTCTGTCCCACCCCTACCCTCCTTTCTGATGATTGGGGTTTTTCTCATTTGCTTCCCCACTGATGTTCTGAGTCCTTCTCATGTAGTCAAAACAGTATAATTCACTAGATGTTTGTTCTCTCTATATGCATATTAATAAATGTATACATACATAGTGAGATATATGCATATCTATAATGATATTTAATAATGTTGTTGATGTTCAGTTGCTCAGTAATGCTGGTCTCTTTGTTACCCCATGACTGCAGCATGCCAGGCATTCCTGTCCTTCACTATCTCTTGGAGTTTGCTCAAATTCATGCCCATTGAGATGGTGATGCAATCCAACCATCTCATCCCCTGCTGCCCCCTTCTCCTTTTGCCCTCAATCTTTCCCAGCATGTCTTTCCCAATGAGTCAGTTCTTTTGCATCAGGTGGCCAGAGAGCTTTAGCATCAGTCCTTCCAGTGAATATTGAGGGTTGATGTCCTTTAGTATTGACTGGTTTGCTGTCCAAGGGACTCTCAAGAGTCTTCTCCAGCACCACAATCCGAAAGCACCAATTCTTTGGTGCTCAGCCTTGTAATACATATGCATATATACGAGGATTTAAAAAAATAGTCTTTAGATGCTTAGTGGCAGGCAGACTTGAAACTCAATTCTTCCAGGACGTCGTTAATTTACTATAATGCATTCATTGCCACTTACCTATTTTGAGCCAAGTGAGCAGCTCAGTCACCTGTATCAAACTTTGACTAATAGGCAAACACATCTTTCAGCATCCTTCTGCCCTGGCCTATCTGTTAATGGAAACCTAGAGGGTCTCTGGGTCTCTGTGCTTGACTCCTAAACAGGTCCTTCCTAATCCCGGGATTTGGCCACCCGTCACCCGCACCCCCAGCCGGTGCTCAGACCAGTCCTGCCAGGAGGTCATTGAAACAGTCCTTTATCTCTCGCTGTCTTCCCAAGCAGCACACCTACACCCATCCTGCTGCCTACGTTTCATACTAGTTCTTAGCTTTTCAAACCCATCTCTGTAGAGGTGATCCATTTCCGCCTGCATGCTGAGCTACACATTTTTTTAAGAGTTCATTTTCATGACCCCATGCACTGTGCTGGTTTGGGCTACGCTGGGTCTTTGCTGCCGCATGGGCTTTTCTGCCTGCGGCCAGTGGGGGCTGCTCTCTAATTGTCACGCACAGGCTGCTCATTGTGGGGGCTGCTCTCCTCGCAGAGCACAGGTTCTAGGCTGCAGGCTTCAGCAGTTGCAACATGTGGCCTCAGCAGTTGCGGCTCCTGGGCTGCAGAACACAGGCTGGATAGCTATGTTACACGGGCTTAGTTGCTCCGAGGCACATTGGGTCTTCCCACATCAGGGATCCAACCCGCATCTCCTGAATTGGCAGGTGGATTCTTTACCACTGAACCGACTGGGGAAGCCCAGCTACACATTAAAAAAAATACTTAAAGTGCCTCCCTCTTCGTTTTCCAGAACCACACTTTGTATAACAGCTCACCTTTCTGGGTAAAGCAGGCAGGATGGCTGGCGGGACTCACTTAGACCCTGTGTTTTATCCCATGCGCTCCCAGATGAGTACGGGCGGGACCGGCTTTCTCCGGACTTCTACGAAGAGTCAGAGACAGACCCTGGGGCAGAAGAGCTCCCAGCCCGCATCTTCGTGGCCCTTTTTGACTATGACCCCCTTACCATGTCCCCGAACCCAGACGCTGCAGAAGAGGAGCTTCCCTTTAAAGAAGGGCAGATCATCAAGGTGGGGCATGGCCCGGGGGGCACAGGTGGCGGGGGAGGGTGGGCAGGGGGTGATCACCAGACCCCAACGCCTTAGCACAGGGGTCCCCAACCCTCAGGCCATGGACCAGTATGGGTCTGTGGCCTGTTGGGAACCGGATTGCACAGCAGGAGGTGAGTGGCGGATGAGCAAGCAAAGCTTCATCTGTATTTACAGCCGCTCCCCATCACTCACATTACCACCTGAGTTCTGTCTCCTGTCAGACCAGTGGCAGCATTAGATTCTGATAAGAGTACAAACCCTACAGTGCTTGAATCACAGGGAAACCACCGCCACCCCCAATCTACAGAAAAATTGTCTTCCACAAAACCAGTTCCTGATGCCACAGAATCTGGGGACAGCTGCCTTAATACCTCAAAAGGACAGGCTACTTTCTCTTGTATTTGACATTCAGCCTCCTATCAGTAGTGGAGGAGGAGCCTGAGTCTGGAGTCAGAAGGAAGACATGGGGTGCTCCCTAGGAGAGGGGAAAGGGCCTTGAACCCTAAGTTGGCAAATTTCTGAAAGGGCAATGACAATAGCCTTTGAAAGAGGTCCTAATGTTTCTTAAGTAAAACAGGGGCTCTAAAGGATGGTGATGCTTACCCCACAGAATACTACGCACAGAATCCCTCTGTGAGTTGAGGTTTTTCACTTCTAGAATGCCAGACAGTGGCTCTGTCTTCTTATGGAGGAATCATTTGTTACACTACACTTGCATGTGGGGTTGGGGGGGGACCTTAACTTGTGTGCGTTAAAACACATGCACTCAGCTAGCAAAGCCCTGGCCTCACCTGGCAGCCCCTTGCTCAGTGGGAGCTCCAGAGGCTGTCCAAACCCTGGAGGAGAATCAGGTTCTTAGACATACAGATTTTTAGGGTGAGGGCCATGTGTACACACTTATGCCCACAAGCAGCGATATTCCATGTTCTTCAAGTCAGTGTCTGACCAGCTGTGACTAGCATGAACAGAGCTGATCTATTTCTGAACCAGCCACTCCAATGCCTTGCCTTCTTCCCACGACTCCAGGTGTATGGTGATAAAGACGCAGATGGATTCTACCGCGGGGAAACCTGTGCCCGGCTTGGCCTTATTCCCTGTAACATGGTCTCTGAAATCCAGGCAGATGATGAGGAGATGATGGACCAGCTTCTCAGACAAGGCTTCCTCCCTCTGAACACACCTGTGGAGAAAATAGGTAAGAGGCCATGCCCGGCTCACCTGTGAACCTGCGGGCCAGGGGGCACCTGCCTTCTCGAGGGTTTTTTAGCACAAAATATGAGCCCAGGGCTTCCCTGGTGGCTCAATGGTGGAGCGTCCACCTGCCCATTCAGGGGACACAGGTTCCATCCCTCTACCGGGAAGATCCCACATGCCTTAGAGCAACTGAGCTCGTGTACCACAACTATGGAGCCTGTGCCCTGGAGTCCGGGAGCCACAGCTACTGAAGCCCGTGCACCCTAGAGCCCGTGCTCCACAACAAGAGAAGCCACCGCAATGAGGACCCTGAGTACTGCAACTAGAGAGTAGCCCCGGATCACTGCGACCAGAGAAAACCCGAGTGCAACAGCAAAGACCCAGCACAGCCAACAACTAAAAAAAAATATTTTTTTAAAACTACAGAAAAAAAAAAAAAAAACCAACCCAACTCAGGGCAGGAGGCAGCGCTGAACAGAGGAATGAATGCTTTGTGTTTTTTTTTCTAAAGATATTTCATATAGTTCCCTGTGCTACAGAGTAAATCCTTGTCACATAACCATTTTATTTTTTGGCCACACCAGGCATGTGGGATCTTAATTCCCAGACTGGGGACTGAACCTGGGCCCCATGCATTGGAAGCGCAGAGTCCTAAACACTGGACCACCAGGGAAGTCCCCCAAATCTGACTGTCAACCAACAGATTTTCTTGGGCAAAACCCACTCTGTAAACCAAGGTTTTAACAGTCCTGAGATACAGACATATAGGCATCTAAATATTTATGAAAACACAGATGATCTTCTCATGAAAGATGAAGTATGGCCTTGCTTACTAAAAGTCTATCACATTTAGAAGGTAAACATTTTGGGGTTATTTTGGATGGAATGTTTGTGTCCCCCTAAAATTCATTTGTTGAAACTTTAATCTGCAATGTGATGGTTTATTAGGAGGTAGGGTCTTTGGGAGTGATCTGGTCATGAGGGTGGAGCCCTTCTGGATGGGGTTAGTGCCCTTATAAAAGAGACCCCAGAGAGCCCCTCCCCCTTTCCATCACGTGAGGTCACAAGGAGAAGGAAGTCATCTGTGGACCAGGAAGGAAGGAAGCAGGTCTTCACCAGACACCAAGTCAGCCAGCACCTTGATCTCGGACTGTGAGAAATGAATGTTTGTTGTCTCAGCTCCCAGTCCATGGCACTTTGTCATCTCAGCATGAATGAACTCATATTGCTAATATACTTGGTTTTTGTTTGTTTTAATATTTATTTATTTGGCTGCTCCGTGTCTTAATTGTGGCATGCAGGATCTTTAGTTGCAGCCTGTGGGATCTATTTGCCCGCCAGGGACTGAACCTGGGCCCCTTGCTTTGGGAGCACAGTCTTAGCCACTGGACCACCAGGACACTGGTACTACTTTGCACATTGACTATCTATGATAAATTTCAAAGGATGACTGGGTAGTGATATGCATTCCATTCTTCAGGTGAATTCTGCTTATCCAAAGACATAAAAGGTTTTTACCCTTTAATTTGGATACTAAATTCTTTTGTTTATCTAGAACCACTGAGCAAACAGTAAAACTGTTTTCAGCAACATTACATTTATGGTCTTTAATTTTTCCATGTGCAAGGAAAATCTACTCATTCAAAAGGCCTCTCTTTTTTCTAAATAACTGTAGACAGAAACACTCATAGCATTCACATTTAAAGTTTTAATACTTCAAAACATTACATTCGCTTTTTTATTGTTTAACCTTTTTCTAAATTTATTTTTATTGGCTTATAGTTGATTTACAATGTTGTGCCAATCTCTTCTGTATAGCAAAGTGAATCAATTATACACATATGTATATTCTTTTTAATATTCTCTTCCATTATGGTTTATTACAGGATATTGACTATAGTTCCCTGTGCTATACAGTAGGACCTTGTTATTTATCTGTCCTATATGTAACAGTTTGTTGTGCATTGTGTGCATGCCCAGTCATGTCTGACTCTTTTGTGACCCCATGGACTGTAGCCCACCAGGCTCTCCTCTGTCCATGGGACTTTCCAGCCAAGAATACTGGAGTGGGTTGCCATTTCTTCCTCCAAGACATCTTCTCAACCCAGGGATCAAACCTGTGTCTCCTGGATTGGCAGGTGGATCCTTTACCACAAGCCCCCAGGGCAGCCCACATGTAATAGTTTGCATCTGCCAATCCCAAACTCCCAGTCCACTCCACTGCCTCCCCTAGATTCACTTCTAAATCACACTCCAGACAAAGTTCAGTGGTTCAAGTAATATGCGTGATTTTAAGGACAAACACAAAAATCAAATATCTCAACCTTTTTGGCATTAATCAGTTCATTGTCTCAAGTCAAGATCCATGTCTAATAGTTGAGGTTTCATATGAATAAACTGCCCAGATTAAATCCCTGAGACCACAGCTCTCTGAGCCCTCACGCCATCCATTCCCTTGCATCGCTGCCCCCTTTCCTGAAGTCGACAGTGCCTCTTCAAAGAGAGGATGGGCTCCTGCACCACAGACCCAGAGAGTCTAGGAACAATCTGCTAAAGGAAAGAAACTTGATTTACATGACTGCTGGGATTAAATGTCTTTTTATTCAGTGGTCCCAAGACTAGTTGAGGGAATCAAGCTGAGATACCTGCTTGCCCTTTTATGTGGAGGCAATATTCTCATGGTGAAAGACTGGACGCCTTCATCCTGAGACTGGGAGTAAGGCCACAATGTCCACGCTCATCTCTCCTTTCCAGCTGCATGCTGGAATGTGCAGTACAAGGACAGCCAGGGAGCAATGGTACACAGAATGGACAGATCCCGTGGAAACCTACTTTGAAAATCTCAGGGAATCTATAAATACAGTTCCTAGAATACAAGTGAGACTAGTAAGGCCAATGGATTCACAAGCAATTGCATTTCCATAGGTTAGCAATGAAAAACTTGAGATTTAAATTGAAAAAGTAATACTGTGTACAATAACACAATGAAGATGTGAAATACAGTTAAGTCTAAAAAAACACATGTAGTATCTGTATGTTGAAAATGATAAAACATTGATGAAAGAAGTCAAAGAATCCCTAAGTAAATAGAGATGGAATGTTCATAGACTTAATATTGCTAAGACATTAAGATGTCAGATATCTCCAAACCGACCTATACATTCATCAAAATAGCAGTCAAGGTCTGTGCAAAACACTAGATAGAATCAATAAGCTAAATCATTCATGCACACGAAAAGTCAGAGAAAGTAAAAATCACTGAAACAGTTTTTAAAAGAAGAATGTGCAGGACTCATGTAACTTGATTTTAAGACTCACTATAAAGCAAACTGATCAAGACCATGTGGTATTGGAGAAAGGACAGGCACATAGATGAACAGGATAGAACGGACCCCCCCAGACTGACCAACATATACACAATCAACTGATTTTTGACAGAGGTAAAAACGTAATTCAGTTGAGAAAAGGTAGTCTTTTCAATAATAGGTGCTGGAATTACTGGACATCCACAGGCCAGAAATGAATCTCAAGCCATCTTCTCACTATAGTGAAAAACTTAACTCAAGATGGACACTGTCTTTAATATAAAAATGAAGACTATAAAACTTATAGGAAACAAAGGAGAAAAACTTTGTAATGACCATGCAACAATTGTTTTTGATATGATATATTTTAAAAATTGTGTTAGATATCATCAAAAGTAAGTATTTCTGAGTGGGACTTCCCCAGTGATCCAGTGGTTAAGAATCTGCCTGCCAGTGCAGGGGACATGGATTTGATCTCTGGTCCGGGAACTAAGATCCCACGTGTCACAGGGCACCTAAGCCTGTGCACCAGAACTGCTGAGCCCGTGCACCCGAGAGCCCATGCTCCAAAACAAAAAAAGCCACCACAATGCGAAGCCATCGCACTGCAAAAAGAGTAGCCCCCACTCGCCTCAACTAGAGAAAGCCTGCATGCAGCAACAAAGTCCCAGCACAAACAAAAATAAATTTTAAAAAATCACTAATAGCCGGAAAGAACTCAAATGTTTTCTGGCTGGTAAATGGATAAAATAACTATGGTGCAGCAATACAATGGGATACTACTCACCAAGAAGAGTAAAACAAATTGATACATGCAGTAACATGACTGAATCTCAGATGCACTGTCCAAAGGAAAGAAGTCAGTCCCCAAAAGCTACACACGTAAGATGCCATTTAAACAATATTCTAAAACAGGCAGAACTGTTGGGACAGAAAACAGATCAGTGGTTACCTAGGTTGGAGGTGATAAATGGGCATGAAGGAATTTGGGGGATGGTGACATAGGTGTTCAATGTCTTGATGGTTGTAGTGGTTATATGACCATAGAGTTTATCAAAACTTACTAAAGTGAATGAACAGTAGACTGAATCATACTGTATGTAAATTACACCTCAATATAGTACACATGTAGCCTTAATGCCACTGACATAGGGTTCCCCTGTGAAATTAGCAGTTTAGCAACACAGTAGTTAACCTCCAGTTACCACTGTAATTTAATCCAGGAAACATACATGCAGGTCTTGCAAAGGTGTGCTTGCTTATTTCAAATAAAAGCAGTGATTCTTGACCAGGAGCTGAGGGTTGAATTTTGCACAAGCACACAACGAGCCCTGTGCCTGCCGCAGACCCCTGAAAAGCTGCTTAACTCACTTTAGATGCTTTCAAAACACGTGTCTTTAGGAGTTTTCATTTCTGTGCACTGAATTCCAAAAATCAGTCTTAGGCAAAAGGTGGCTGGGTTTGGGAGAAAGGCCTCAATGCCAACTTTCTCCAGGAGAAACATCATTTAGGAACCCAACAAACGGAGGTTTGCCAAGGAGTTTGACGATTTGGGCCAGATCTCATGGTTCTCCATTGGCCCTTCTTATAAATGGCTATTTTGGAGTTTTTGCAAATGCTCTGTGTAGGTTTTCCTCTTTCCTCCCCTCTTACGCTGCTACAGAGCCCAGGGCTCCGTCTAGGGCAGATCACAGCCGGGCAGCAGGAGGGGACCTCCCCCAGAGCCTTCTCCACAAGTGGCATCCTTTCAGGGACAGATGTTAAAAATACAGCGAGGGCACTAGAGGAAGCGGAGAGAAAGGAACCTGAGGTGGGCAGAGAGGGTACCCCCTTCTGGTGACTCTTGTTTCTGCTGACGACAGCCTCTGGTCTGAGCGAGAATAATCTGAGTGAGAATAATCTTCATAGCAGCTCCATGGGCAGCATTTTTGACCTGGTGTTCATGGGGTTCCTCTGAGCTGGGTCACAACCTGCAAGTGGCCCGTGTGGCCCCCCCATGTCACACGCACCTCGTGCCACTCCAAGCCCTTTAGATTGACTTTTGGAGCAAATCCCCTGCTCCAAGTCTCCCCTGTTTCTGTACACAGAGAGAGAGGAGTGGGGCTCGACTGGACTTCAGTGTGAGTGTAGGGAGCCTGGGGGCTTCCCCGGCTTGGCCAGCGCCACTGCCCAGCATTCATCTCAGCCGCACTGGCCGCATGCAAGCTGGCTCCACCGACTAAGTCAAGGGATGGGGGCCGCCGCTGGCTTTGCGATCACTTCATGACGGCGTTCTTCTTCTCCTTGCGATGTGAACAGAGCGGAACAGAAGAGGCGGCAGGCAGCACGCGGTGTCCACGCGAAGGGTGGTGGCCCTGTATGACTATGACCCGAGGGAGAGCTCGCCCAACATCGACGTCGAGGTACCTCTGCCCGCAACCCCGTCCCTCCCTCCCTTCCCTGGAACCTACACGGGAAGGGCTACTCCACCAGAACGAGAGCCAGCGGGGCAGGAGGCAGGTCGCGAGCCTGGAGACACACTCAGGCAGCCACTGACCTAGGACTTCCCTGGACCCGCACCCTGTGACCCACACCTACTGTGATGGGTCGTCCTGGAGAGAGAGAGCAAAACCTCTGACATGTGGCCAGTGACCCCCCGCCACCACACACACACGCAAGGGAGATAGAGCAGAAAAGATGGATGTTCTCTGTGCACATAGGCTGGGTATCCTAGGAACACTGTGAAAACTGAAAAGCATTTGCCTTCAGAGGGATTAGATTTCCACTCTTTGGAGCTGTTTTTTTAGACAAGATGTATACAAATCCCTGGTCCTTGGTATTTCTGTTGTGCCCAATGGGTGACCAGCTTGGGGTTCAGATTCAGAGCTTAGGTGGATTCAAATTTCTGTGTTGGCTTGAGGAATGTGTGCATGCATGCTGAGTCGGTTCAGTCATGTCCGACTCTTTGCGACCCTATGAACTGTAGCCCACCAGGCTCCTCTGTCCGTGGGATTCTCCAGGCAAGTATACTGAAGTGGGTTGCCATGCCCTCCTGCAGGAGATCTTCCAGACCCAGAGACTGAATTCGTGTTTCTTGTGTCTCTTGCAGTGGCAGGCAGGTTTTTTACCACTAGTGCCACCTGGGAAGCCTGGCTTAATGTGTATATGATGCCTAAAGGCTCTTAGAAATGAACTTGAGCCCCCTGTTTTCATATCTAGAGATTAAAATGCAATTTTTTCTGGTATCCTCTGCTGGAGTCAATGCACCCACCTCTAACCTGGAGCATGGCACATAGTAGATATTTACCAAATGACATTTAAATACAAATTTTTTTTACATTGAGTGAAAGGATATTTGTGCAATGGTCCCTACACTGCAGAGCACATCTGAAGGCTCTATGGTTTTTAAGTTAACTATTTAACTAGCTGTAAAGACGCACCGCCAGCAGAACCTGGGGATGATCTTAATTCTGGCTGAGAATCGGAGCACAGCAGCCCTTCTGTTGGAGACTTGGCCTTATTTTGAGTTGTCCTTACTTTCTAAAAGACTGGGAACACAGGCATTCATTCATCTGATATGTACTTTTCCTCCTTATCTGACTGAAAGGGTAGGTTCATACCAAAACAAGAAGAAAAAAAAAGAAATCATACCAGAAATCACGAAGATTTTTTTTTTAAGGCAACTTCTATATCTAGGAAAACACTGTTAACTTTATGTTCTGTCTCTACAGGCTGAACTTACATTTTGCACAGGAGATATTATTACTGTTTTTGGTGAAATTGATGAAGATGGATTTTACTATGTAAGTTTTTGAAGCATCAAATATATAAATATTTTTGCTTGTCTATTCTGTCCTCTAAAATTGTGCATGAACTTTACCTGGCTTGCTGAAAGGATGGCTAATGTGCTTGTCCTCCTTGCTCTTCACATATAATATGGGAAGGCAGTTCTGTGATCTTCACTGTTACTTCTCTTTAAAAGGGACATTTTCAATGGATACAAGCTGTTGACAAAGTAAGAGTGTTCACGTGCTTACATGAACTATTTCTTTCATCCAAACATTTACCAAGCTGTTTAATTTTGTGGATTACTTAGTGCCTGCATGCATGCTAAGTTGCTTCAGTCGTGTCCGACTCTTTGCAGCCCTACGGACTGTAGCCTGCCAGGCTCCTCTGTCCATGGATTCTCCAGGCAAGAATACTGGAGTGAGTTGCCATTTCCTCCTCCAGGGGATCCTCCCCAATCCAAGGACGGAACCCAAGTCTCTTATGTCTCCTGCATTGGCAGGAGGGTTCTTTACCACTAGTGCCACCTTGGAAACCCCATTTAGCACATAGATAATACATTTTCAAATGGTGAGAGGAAGAAATACAAAGAAGCAAAATTAATTCATTAAAACCAACAGAATCTCAAGCTCCTCCCTCTTACAGCCTCTGGGGTACCCCTACCTCTGGGGTAGGGATGAGGGAGTCCTGGCTCTGCCCTGGGCCAGTGGAGCGGATCTTCTGATATTCCTAAAGAAGAGAAGGCAGGCATGTTGGGTGGTCATCTTGGTGGCACCTCCCCAGCCAGACACCTACTGCTGTCTCTTGCCTTATGGATGGGATCATCATCTTGCATCCCACTTTCCTCCTCTTTCTGTTTCTTTTTTTTTAATAATAAAAATAATCAAGAAACTCTCAAGTCCTGACAAGGCAGGTTTCTCTTGGGGTCAAATGGATTTTACAGCATTAGGCACACATGGTATGTCAAAGCACCTCTGCTGCAGTTTCTGATTTTTAAGAGAATAGTTTTTAGTGAGACTGTTCATACTGTTACCAACCAGGGTTCTTGGCCTTCCCCAATCAATAGAAATTGATCAGACAAAAAATTCAGGTAAGGCTTTACTGGGGCCCCTGGTGCACAGTGGGGAGCCAGAACAAACAACAGGTTCGCTTGCTTGCTCTCAGATGAGGGGGACGAGAGTGTTCCTTACATGGGGTGAGGGTAGGGGTGTGTCCAGGGGTCAGGCCAGAAGGTAGCTTAGGTGGTTTGCACACCCCTTAGGTGGTGGTGTGTGCAGGGGGCATGCGAAGTACCCTGCTTTTGCTCTCAAACCTCTGCTTTTACTCTGGGCTCTTCAGAAGTGGCAGTTGGGTTTTTTTGGTCTTTTTGTACCTTGTTGTCTATAATTTGCCCTAACTGCCCCCCTTGGTTGCACTTAGTTTTAGTTCCTTCTAGTTCCTTTGTATTTTGATGCTGGAGATGTTTCACCAGGTGCAAGCACTGCAGCAAAAGGTCCCAGGTTCCAGGTCCAAGCCTGTCTTGATACTTTGTCCCTATGTTGCAAATATTTCTTTTTCTAGGTAATTATCTGATTTTTAACTTTTCTTTTTTGTGTGTGGTTTTGTCTTCTTTTCTTTTATGAAGCAGAAGTTTTAAATTTTTATGTAGTCAGTTTTTCAGCCCTTGGGAGGGATGCTTAAAAGTCCTTCAAGGTGATAGAAATAATCATTTTATCTTGGTTCTTCACTTTGATAGCTTCATTTTCACATGTAAATCTCAAGTGTCTAACTTAATTTCTAGAGAAACTAATGTCCCATGCCACTTATTAAATAATCCATCCTTTCCCCACTGTTTAAAAATCCTACCCTTCTTCTGCGTACTACACTCCTATCTAGATTGTATCCATATCTCATCTACTTGATTCTCTCAATTATTGTTTTTATAATTCATTTTCACATTTGGAAGGGATCTCTCCACTAGGATCCTACCCCACAACAAACCCACAGTATTTTATTTAGAGGTGCATTTAGTTTTTAGATGAGACTGGGGAGTTTTTAGATGACATGACATTGTCTTTCAACTCTAACATGAGTGTGTCTGACTTTTTCTAAGTTTTTCCTTTCATCTGTTCATGAAATTATTCTTACACATCCTTATATATCTTTTAAAGTTCATTCTTATGTTCATGCTATTATGATTTTTTCTGGTATATATTTTACTGGTTACTTAGAAAATATGTTGGAAATGTGTATACATATGCATGCGTGTATGTATCTGTTTTGTATGTATGCAACACACATGTATGTGTGCATATATGCACACAAACATGTATGGATGTGTGTTTATGCATGTATATGGGCATGTGTATGTATTTGCATGTGTGTATATGTGTGCATTTTATGTGTATGTATGTGTGCACTCTCTGTGCCTGTTTATCTGCATGCATGTTTATGCTCCCCTACAAATCTTTCTTCTGGATGCATTTATATCCACTGTCATCAGTGGTTCTCTTGAGTTCCCTGAGTCAAGACATTTTGTCTTTTCTTCAATATTTATCAGTCATCTCTTCTTACTGTCTTACTGCATCATTTAGAACAATTATGAATAGTGAGGACAGGGGATCCTTGACATTATGTATTTTAGTAGGAATGTCACTAATCTTTACACTGTTATGTGTTAGGCTAGACTATCAATAGAGAGATGGTCTTTATAGTGTTAAGTATCCTGTTTTCATTTCCTAAGCTTATTTTTCTCTCAGTAAATTATTGACCATGGTATACCACTATTTTTTACATTTATTTTTGAAGAGCTGGATTTGATTTGCTAACATTTTATTCAGAATTATATTTATATTCCAGAAATTATATTGGAATATAATTTCTGTAATATCTTTTATATAGCTTTTGGTGTCAGGATTATGCTAGAATTGTGAATGCTGGTAAGCTTCCAGTATTTTTCATGATCTGGACAGCTAAAATGACATAGTTAGGTCCTATAATTATGTGAAGATTATTAAAATATGTCTATAAGATCTTTTAGGTTCATTGTGTTTTTAGGATACGGTTGTATAACAGCTTTCATTTGCTTAAATGATTATCCTTCTTACTGAGTCAATTTTTTTAGACTCTATGTATACTTGGAATGCCACACCTTTCATTTAGATTTTCAAACACCTAGACAAAACTGGACATAGTATTATCTGGCAATTTAAAAATATTTTTCTACTATGAGCTGCATGTTTCCATTGCTATGTTATGTTTTATCTCTTTGTTTTCTTGGCTAGCCTACCTAAATTTTGCATGATAGTAGGAATCAGATCTAAATTAATATGAAATGTACACTTTTTATGTATATATCCAAAAAATGGCTTTACTGTTATTTTGTTGGTCTGATTTGCTGAGTAGACTGCCCATTCCACTTATTTTTAATTATTTCTTATTTGATAAACGAGAACTGGGGATATCTAACTTGATACCAAACATCTCAAGCTTCACCAAACTTGTGTTGTCTGACATTGAATGCAACCTTGAAAGCTCTCATAAGAGCTAACTTGTTCTGGGATATACTCCTGTGATCTCTTCCCAGTCTCTCCTCAGTTCCAAATATCCCATAACAAACAGAGACTAGATGGAGGGACCTCTGTTGTCCACCTGGGCCTTCCCCTCCACAATCCATAGCATCCACAGTGAAGTCAATCATTTGAGATTGTCTCCAATCATTTGAGATTTCCAGCACCCCATAATGCTTCAGCCCTTACGCTGTGTTAACCAGATACTTGCACTCACAGTGTTTCTATAGCCAGACTCTTAAGTCATGTACTTTGATAGGTCAGAAGGAAATTGGCTGCACAGTAGCAGTCTAAAAAGCATTAAAGCCAGCAAAGAAGAACTATGCAGGCATGACTGGGTTTCGTGCCGACTGTGCATGAAGAAAATGGGGCAGTTGTAATGTTTACTGCCATTTAGCCTAACATAATCCAATTCTGTTTGAATGTAAGGTCTTGACACGGTTTGTATTTGGCCTCAAACATAGAGAAGTGGTAGAAATGAGGCTCAAAGAGGACCAGAGATCTGAGTGTGAAGGGTCTGCAAGAGGGAGAAATGTCTCTTAGAGAAAGTTGTAGTCAAAGGTTTTGCAAATGGACTGTTGAAGGGAGGTGGGAGTCCCAGGGGGCTTGGTGACATGTCACCAAGAGTCCAGGGTACAAGCTATGAAATGACCCAGGTGAGAAACAAGGGCTTGAACTGAGATGGTAACTGAGGCAGACAGACATCGGGGGCTCAGATGGTTAGTTGGGACATCTTCCAGGAAGATCTCAAGGTTGTGCCTTAGCTGATGGCTGCCCTGGGTAAAACAGGAATAAGGACATGGTTGAGAGGAAAACACGAAATACTGAGCTTGAGGCTACAGAGCCTCTCCAAGGAGGAGGAGTACTCACGCCCCTGGAATATTCTAGTGATCACATCCGACAGTGGTGTCACGTGCACTTCTGACACGTGATTTAACAGAACTGTATGAGGGAGGCTCAGGAGAAGAGAGGAAACACTGTCTAGACAGTACCCCCACACACTGTTCAGTGAGCCCAGGGCAGGGTTCAGCTTGGAAGCCTGAATAGGCAGGAGGGTACAGGTCTCTGGTCACACAGGTTCCTCTTGTGATGTGAGCGTGGTACTGATGGGGGTTTGTGTGTAAAGCTGTGTTTTCACGGAATGTAGTCCCCAAACATAAGCCAACTACTCCATCTGGTGCCCACCCAAAGAAAGTTGTTTTTCTGATGCTGGAGGAAAAAAAAAGCTGTTAAAGAGTTACTAGGAGGCCTGGACTGTATAGAGATTCCAGTGTCTGTGTATTGATGTTGTCTGCAACCCTTGATGTGGAAGAAATCACCAGGGACACGTGCACAGTAAAAGATAAAGGTGTCCTAGAAAGTCTCTAAGTAACACCAACAGAGAAAAATGAGCTAATAGGAGAGCCTGAGGGAGAAGGGTTGAAGCTGTCACAGGTGAACAGGAGAGTGGAATTTTCAAGGTCAAAGCAGAAGGCAGGTGATGGCTGAACTGGGCAGGTGGATCTGGAGCTCAGGAGGGATTACTGCACAGGGAAACATGGGAGGTACCTGGACCTGCCTCTTTTTAAACAAATCATTTTAATTTTTCGTGGTGATAAAATACATAAAACACAGTTTAACCTTAATCACTCGTTAGTGTATAGTTCACTGGTGTTAAGTACACTCAGATTCTTGCACAACCATCACAACCATCCACCTCTAGAACTCTTTTCATCTTGCAAAGTTAGCACTGTCCCCTTTAAATACCAAGTCTCCACCATCCCCAGCAGCCACCACTCTCCTGTCCTCTGTGCCTCTGGCCACTCTAGGAGCCTCGTGTAAGTGGCATCGCTCGGGGGAAGTCTTCTTTGGACCATTTACCTAGCATGGCATCCTCGAGGTTCATCACCCTGGTAGCATAGCTCAGATTTTCCTTCCTTTCTCCAGGCTGAATAATACAGCATTGAGCCACACATTATTTATCCATTCATCCACTGATGCACAGTTAGGGTAACTCCATTTTCTGGCTATTGTGAAGAGTGCTGTGAATATAGGCATACCAGACTCTCTTCAAGACTCTGCTTTAATTAAGTAAATGCCCAGAAGTGGAATTGTTGGATCATATAGTAATTTTATTTTTAATTTTTTGAGGAACCAGCATACTGTTTTTTCCATAGTGGCTGTACTGTTTTACAGGCCCACCAACAGCATGCAAGTGTTCCAATTTCTCCATATCTACACCAGTATTGCCATCCTAATGTGGTTTTGATTTTTATTTCCCTAATAAATAGTGATACTGAGCATCTTTTATGTGCTTGTTAACTTTTTGTATGTTTTTTTTGTGTGTGAGAAATATCTATTCAGGTTCTTTGCCCCCTTTTTAACTGGGTGAATTATTTTGTAAAGCTGTAGAATTTCTTTATATATCCTTTATTATATATATCCTCTTATTAGATAATGACTTGCACATATTTTTTCCCATCGTGTAGGTTTCTTTTACACTCTGTTGGTCATGTCCTTGGATGCATAGTTTTTAATTTTGATGCGTGAGCTGTCACTTTCCAATTGTCATTTCCTAGACCTATTGAACAAAGAAACAGACTCCAATGTTATCTGGGGCCAGTTTTGAACTTGGTTTTGGGTTCTGTGGGGCAGGTTGGCACTGGGGGGGGGGGCGGTTTGACATGTGGGCTCTGAACCTCTTGATATATCCGGTGAGCAGCTGGTCTAGGTTACATGCTGTATTGCTGATCCTGCTGACAGCGCCAGTTGTCTTGCTGTTCACACTGTCTGAGTTGTTCGATGAACCCGTGGTAGACAAGGTGTGAGTGGGAAAGCTGGAAGGAGACCTGAGGAGCCCTAGGATCTGCAGACAGATTATTCTCTCCTGGCTGACCCAGAAGCCACAGCCTAACCTAACACAGCACACCCTCTGTGCTGGCTGACGCCGCAGCCACAACAGTATTCTCTCCTGGCTGACACAGCGGCCGTAGCAGTAGACACGCCGTATTCTCTCCTCTCAAGGCTGACACAGCCGTGATGCGGCAGAAACGCCCCTGCTTTCTTTAGGTGGCGCTCATACAGGCGTCCTACACAAAGTAGCCCGACCAAGCGAGGACCTCCTGACGCCCGTGCGCAGTGCTACAAATGATCTCAGCTGTTACATCCTCACTGTTTACACTATGTGGAGCGAGAGAGCCTGAAACCCCCATCTTGGCTAATTTGCTCTCTCCCCACACATGCATAGGCATGTGACTGAGTAGAAAGGTCTGGAAGAATATACACCAACTGAAGCGGTCCCCTCTAAGGAGGCATCGACACTTTCATCTTCCTCTATTGTGTGGATCTTTACAGTGAGACTGTAGTAAAGCCTAGGATGAACCATACCAGGGGCAACTGCTCTGTCCCTTCAATCCTGCCTCTGCCCCCACACCCCCAGCTCCCCTCTCTCAACGTGCCAGAGCAATGGTATTTTTACAAGTTCCCTCGGGACTCAGAGGTCAGCCAGGGCTGACAACTATGAAGTGAGATGCTCTCAAGGAGTGTTTCTAAGCGTGCCTGATCCTAAGACTCACCCAGGCCCCTTGGCTGGAACAGACTCTTTGGCTCCACTGTAAACGGAATCAAGACTTGGGGTGGGGAGGGGGAAGGGGGGTGATGGGCGTGACCCTGCACTTCAAGCACATGGCCAAGGTCATTCTTGTGACCAGGGGAGTTAGGAAACACTGACGTCCCGAGCTCTCACACTTTTGAACCATGATAAACTCACTACTCTGAGCTATATTTCTTTAGCGAAAGCAAGAAGTGGGTTTCTGGGAACAAGGGTCAGTCATTCTTCTTTCTCATCTCTGTGTTTCTAGGGGGAGCTTAATGGGCAGAAAGGGCTTGTACCTTCCAACTTCCTAGAAGAAGTGCCTGATGATGTAGAAGTCTACCTTTCCGACGCACCGTCCCACTACTCACAGGACATGCCAATGCGCTCCAAGACGAAAAGGGTAAGCACGAGCACTCAGCATGTTTAACCCCCTCCTGCTCTGCCGTAGATGGTCTAATACAGCCTCTGCATTGCTCTTTTTATATCTTAGGCCGAAAAGCATAGACCCTGAGTTTTCTCTCTGCCCTTCCATGGGGACTGTGCCTAAAAATTCTAACCATGTTTATTTGTTCCACAAAAATGACCCTTTCAATCTAATCAGTCTGCTTTACTCACAAAGGAACTTCCCATCCTACATCCTAGGTGCACATTCCAGTTTGATCAAGAGTGAGGAGGGGATGGCTAGTCCATAGATTCAGTGGGCAATAATGATTGTTTGCCCTGTTAGGACTTTAACAGATCCTCTGAACAAAGGTCAGAGAACTTCTCAACCATATATAACTATTAGATTACATTCATGTTTAGTGTCTCATTTTTATTTTATTTCATCACTGCGAGTTTTTATATATTATATTTTTATATATATATATTTTTATTTCTTTGCTCATCTGCTTGGAAACAGAAGAAGAGTGTTCATTTCACACCTTAATCAGGCAATGTAGCCTTCACGTAAGTGAGCAACTGAAGATACCTATAAAGATACCAACTTAAGCTACCTTAACTGGACCAATGTGGTAGACTTAAGGCTTCACTGTGGGGTTAAAAAAAAAAAAAAGAAATATGTCTCAAAAATCCATTGGACCTAAAGTATTACTTGGTCTCAGTTGTAAAGCAACTGAATTTGCAGTGAAATAAATCATCTTTAATAATTATTTCCTACAATTTACATTAAGAATATTTGAAAGGCCAACATTGGGAACATATTTCTTAACAGGCTAATTGTTCGTTTACACAGAGTGTTCCAATGTCTACTCATAATTAAAGCTGCATATTGCATTGTTAGCCACTCTTGGAAAAAGCACAACCTAATAAATGTTTACTATGGAAATTTTACTTAAAAAAAATGCAACTCAAGATCGAGCAGATGAGTAGTGAACAAGAGGTGATCTAGAGTTGGCACTGAACACTTCCCATGCTGGCTTGAGCAGCAGACAGCTTTTTCTTAAGTGACCACCCCTCTACCTTACAGGAGAGCTGGTGCTTCTCCTCAAAGCACAAGTGAGTGTCCTGAACACAAAGGCGTTTGGTGGAAGACTGCTCTGTTGGTATACCAATGCAATACTAAGTTTAATGAAACATGCAGCTCAAACGATTGCATTAGATGGAATAGATGGTATCTTCAGGTGTACTTTGGGATGCTTTACTAGGTGTTTTCCATTAGAATTAGACCTTGATTTTAAATCCAAGTAAGCTTGAAGCCCCTTGGCTCATATCATTTGCCTGTTGAATAATGAACACTCATATTAGAGAGAGGTTTGCTCTGGTGAGGTAAGGGAGTTAAGAGGAATTCAGGCATGCCCAGGACCAGAAACATGAGTGAGGCCAGCTGTCATGCCTCCCATATAGTTCTGCTCTTGTAAAGCAGCATTAAGCACTGAAGTGTACAAAAGTCCTACCATGTGCTCTATATTAACAAAAAGACATCTTTAATATCTTGGAAATAACAAAAGCATACAATAAGGGCCTTTAAGCTTTCTTTGATTGTAATTAAGGTTCATTTTAGTTTTTTTTTTTTCTTTCAACCGGTGTGCCATCTCCAATGTTTCTACAGTATACTAACCAACCCAGGAATGCACTCAGCAATGTCAGGGTTTTATATACCCAAGTAGTTTTCATATACAACAAAACTTTAAGAACTTTTCTCTTTAAGAGCTTTTGTGTTGAAGATTACTTTTGTGTTTAAGATGGATACTTGGCCAATACTACTCTCAACATAATTCAAAGTGACTTTTTTTCCCTGCTCTTGGTCTTAGTTTACAAAGTAAATTACTACCTAGCTTTGTTTTGCCAAAGCAATGGCCACCCCCTCCCCGGAGACAAAGAAACTGAAAACCCAACATTGATGGCTAGACCCCCCTGTCAGAGATATGCCCTGGGAGGGGTGTGAGCCTCTCATGGCATACTTTAACCCTTGAAAGAAGGCATGATCCACCCTTACCTTTCCTGGTGGGAAACGGGGCAGTGCGGGGCTTCTGATGTTACCGAGTGAGCGGATGGATGTTGTTGGAGCTCGCGCACTCAATGAACTGTAACAATGTACCTACTAGGTTCCTGCTGAGGGTTCAGGTACAGCAAGGAGAGCGCCATCCCCCACAGTGCATCTCCATTCGGGGTCGCCTCCGTCACCTAAGGGTACTGGTAGTCCTGGGAGAGGCAGGGACATGTCCTCGAAAAAGAAAAAGGGGCTGCTTTCCAAAGGCAAGAAACTGCTGAAAAAGCTGGGTGCAGTGAAATGATTCATGTGCTTCCGGACAACCTCCAAATCTATGTAATTTTCTTTAATTCCAAACTAGGGCTTTCATGACTCAAGTACTTCCTAAAAAAACAATCTTCTCCCCTGACACCAGTAGAGAAATGCTCTTTGCACTACCATCCACTTTAAGCCCAGCGCCAGGACAAAGAGCTGCTGGTGCTCCCACCCGCCTCGGCCCATCGCTCTTATTAGTGCCCGGGCTCTGGCGGCAGCTGGGCTGTCTCGAGAACATGCAGGGGGCCAGTAGCTCTTTGTGGCTCACTCCCTACCTGGGATTCCAGTCTTTGTGCATTTGTCATCTGCCCTTAAAGGAATGATTTCAACCTCTCTCCCTTTTCAAAATGCTTGCCTCATAATGCATAACTCTCACTTTAACTCTGGTCTTGAAATTCCTAGTTTACTCGCCTTGATGTCCTGCCTTATAAATGCACAGTGATTTGTACTGTCTAATAAAAACTACAGTGTACACTTTGTATGTGTCGTGCATTCAGTGCTCTCATCCTCACAGACACAGTGGTTTGAAACCAAGTTGTGCAGGCTGTGCAATTTAAGATCCTGGCTTTTCAGCTTTTAAAGCAAGCCAGGCAACACACAGAAAATGTTTACTTATTCACATCATTCAAAAAAGCAGAGAGGAAGTAGCTTTGGTAAAGTACCACTTCTCCAACCTGCCAGACACCTGGTAATATTCATTGCTTTCAGTGTTACATTTTGTGGCATATGGATTTACGTTACTTTCATTATTTGTCAAAATGCCATACACAGCCAACAGTGAACAGCACACACGTAAAGCAATCCACATGATGCATAAGCCACACCAGAAACATCCTAAATTCAAGTCTCTTCAAAATTACTCCATACCAATCTTCACCATTGGCACCTGAACAAAAAAAGATTTACAAAGTTGCTGGCAGATGTATTTGATGGTTACTATTTTGTAATTCTTGTCCACTTGTAAATTGTTTTTACTCTTTATACATACTTTTCAGACTGCCTTTCTTTTGTAACTGATGGAAGGTTTATAAATGAATGACAAAGCTTTCCCCATTGTGTCTTCAAAAATGATACTGTAAATTATACTATAACAGTATGTGGTAGCTTTATTAAAAGGAGATTACTCTATGTGTGGTTAAGTTCTGCGTGGGCGTGTGCATGTGTACAGTTCGTGTAAAATATTTTATAAAAATAAAATTTGTTATTTTATACAATGCCAGTTATTCTGTATGTTTGTTTTAAACACTTTTTAAAATCATAGCAGTATAACTGAATTCTTTTCTCCTGTAGGTACAAGAAAAACTCTATAACATTACCTTTTGGGCACTACTTTTTTCCTAAAGGAATTCTGACCTATGTTTGGAGAGTCATATACAACATGCTGTCATTCTCGCATTATTGGTGACAGTTCACTCAGTGGCAAACAAAATATAATTAGTGCTGAGACAGTATTTCTCGTGAAATACTCACGAGCAGCAAAGATGTGGAGAGTGAGTTCAAACCATATTCATAACATCTCCCTTTGGCAACGCTAGAATTCAAATGATCTGAATAAAGAGCTACACCAACTAAATACAATAAAATACTACTTTTCAAAGCATTTTTCTAAAAACCTTATTTTAAAATCCTCCAAATAATAAGGTTTATTCTCACTAACAACATGCAAGATGAAAATATAATTCAAATTCATAACTTTATGAAACTATGTATGAATATGTAAAATTACAACTGTTATCATAATGCCATTCACATCAAATTACGTTTTCACCTACTGCATTCACAGAAAAGGTTATGTTGGACTAGTTGATGACAGAAATATTGAATGATCTCGCTCACATCTGGAACCTAAAACAGGTAAACACTTAGAAGCAGAGGGTAGGATGGTGGCTGTCAGGGGCTGAGAGTGGGGGAAAGGGAAGATGTTGGTCAAAGGGTACGAAGAGTTTCTGGAGATCTAATGTTTCACAACAAGCTAAATGCTAGATTAAATGGAATGTCTTAAAAAATTTTCCAGTCTGAGAAATACGAGTATAAGAAATTAAAGTCTATACAACAGTGTGAGTGTCTTTAATGCACTTAAAAACGGTTAAAATGGTAAACTTTGTTATAAATATTTTACCACAATAAAAAGAAATCAATAACAATTTCTAAAAAAAAAAAAAAAAGTAAAAGTAGAGCCAGGATTAAATCTTTTGAACACATTTACAAATTTCCTAAAATATGAAAATGTAAAGTGATCCTGAGCTGGACTCAGCTTTGATGAATACTACCAAACACTTAAGGAATACGCAAGGCAAATGTATATACAACTTCTTCCAGAGAAGAGAGAAGAAAGAAAAATGCCCACACTCACAAGGCCAGCATTATCCTGTTACCAAAATTAGACAAAGACACTGTAATAAAACTATAGACCAATAGCATCATGAATATAGATTTTAAAAAATCCTTAACAAAATAGTAGCAGATTGAATCCAACAATATATAAAAAGATGATATACTTAGCTGTAGTTCATCGCAGGAATGAAGGTTGGCTGCACATGCTGAAGAAAAATCTATGTGTTTCACTGTATTAACAGAACAAAAGAGAAAAGCTACTTAGTCATTTCAATAGGTGTGAGGAAAGCACTGGAAGAGATGAACACCCATTCAGGAAACTAGGGAAAGAAAGGAATTTACCTTAGCTTGATCAAGTTAACAGCCAACATATGTAATGATGAAAGACTGACCACTCCCCCTTTCTGTCAAAAACAACACAAGGATGTCTGTTTGACTACTTGTATTCAACACTGCATTGGAGCTTCTAGCCAGAACAATAAGGAAAGAAAAGGAAAAGAAAGTTATATGCTTTTAAAAGAAAGAGGTAAAACAGTCTTTATTTGCAGATGACATGATTGTTCATGCAGAAAATGTTAAGGGACCTACAAAAGGCCATTAATACTAATAAAGTTAATCTGGCAAGGTGACAGGGTACAAGGTCAACATAACAAAAATCAATTGTATTTTTATAAGAGAAGGGCAGCAGAGTATGAGATGGTTAGCATCACCAACTCAATGGACATGACCTTGAGCAAACACCAGGAGACAGTGGACAGGGAAGCCTGGCATGCTGCAGTCCATGGTGTTGCAAAGAATTGGACACAACTTAGCAACTCAACAACAATAAGCTGCATATTTCCTATAAATTTCCCCAACAGGGACCAATTAGACAGAAATTAAAATATAGCTATGTGAAATAAAATAAATATAATTAGTTGTGTAGCACCACAACATGAAAATTTTAGGGACAAATTTAACAAAATACACAAAAGACTTGGCTTCCCAGGTGATGCTAGTGGTAAAGAACCTGCCTGCCAATGCAGGAGACATAAGAGACACGGGTTCAATCCCTGGGTTGGAAAGATCTCCTGGAGGAGGGCATGGCAACCCACTCCAGTATTCTAGCCTGGAGAATCCCCTGGACAGAGGAGCCTGGCGGGGCCCCAGTCCACAGAATGGCAAAGAGTCAGACACGACTGAAGCAACAGCGCAGCACATAAATAAGTCTTCTTTACTAAAACTGTAAAACACTGCCTAGAGACTGTGAAAAAACTCCTAACGCAGATAAATAAGATGTTTATGGTTTGGAAGACTCGGTATTGTTAAACTGCCAATTTCTCTCCAAGTAGATCTACTGATTCTGTGAAATACTGGTCAAGGTTCCAGCAGGCTTATTCTAGAAACTGATACACTGATTAAAAAGTTACACAGAAATGCAAATGACCAAGGATAGTCAAAACCATTTTGAAAAAGATGGACAAAGGTGAAAGGGTAACACTGCCTAATTTTGAGACTTTACAATGCTACAGTAATCAAGACAGTGTTGTTTTGTGTAAAATATAGACATATAAATCAATGGAACAAATAAATGCATTATATATAGTAAGTTCATTTTCAACAAAGGTGCCAGGGCAATTTAATGGGGGAAATATGGTCTCTTCCAGAAAATTCTGCAGAAAGAAGGGGGATTAATAGGGGAGAAAAGTGACCCTCATCTTACATGATACAAAAAATTTAACTCAAAATAAAATATAGAATTAAATGAAAAAGTTAAAACTATAAAACTTCTAGAAGAAAACAAAATAGAAATTTGGTTGGGAAGAAGTATAAGACACAAAAAGCACAAATTATAAGAGGAAAAAACCCCTGATAACTGGATTTCATCAAATTTAAAGACATCGTCTCTTTGATACTTAAGAAAGCAAAACAGAAAGCTAGAAACTGAGGGGAAACATTCATAGTGCACATATGAATATGATAAAAGATTTTTATCCAGAATACCCAAAGAAAATTTACAATTCAATAAGGCCAACCAATTTAAAAGATATATGCCAATGATTTGAACAGATACTTCATAGAAGCTGCAAGAATGGCTAACATGCACACAAAAAAATGCTCAATATCATTAGCCAGGAGAGAAATGCAATTAATAATACAAATGAGATAACATTACACACCCACTAGAATGAAAAGGCTGACATCATCAAAAGTTGATGAGGATGTGGAGCAACTGGAATTCTTATGCACTGGAGAGAACAAAATAGGGTAAAATCACTTGCCAACTTATTATAAAATCAGAGACACTTGGCATATAAATCCAGCAATTCTACTCCCATGTATTTACCCAAAATAAGTAAAAACTATTTCCACACAGAGGCTTGAACAGAATTTTTTTTTTTAGAATTTAAAATAGCCCCAAATAAGAAACATCTAAAATATCCAATGGTGAATAGACAATGTGAAATATAACCCATACAACAGAATACTGCTTAACAAACAAATCAATTAGACAATTAAATGGATTAGTTTTTGAAGCACTCTGAGCAAAAGAAGCCAGATACAAAGGAGTATATATTATATGATTCCACTTACATGAAATTCTACAGTAGGTCAAAGGCAGATCATTGTTGCTTGGGGTCAAGGTGGGAAAGACTGCAAAGAAGTAAGAAGGAA